GCAATAAATGCAACTGAACTTTAAGTACATTTATCATTTAATATAGTTCTTGTCAGCCAATAGAAAAGTAAATATTTTGTAACTATTCATTTTTATCTATTGTTTAGGTTACTAAAAAACAAAACATGAATGTTTATATCTCAGCAACAGAGTTTTTAAACTTCTACTATTTTTCATCACATATTTGTGTGAGTGAGCATTTTGTATTCTTTTTTTAAAAAAATCAAAATACAGAAATAAACTCATTGTGGAATGAGATTTTAGATTGATTTTGTCTGGTGTTGGGCTAAACATTGCAAACCTTTGTTTTAAAAAAGTCCATTATAGAAATTAGGTTTATACATAATTATTATATTGCATCAAACATCTTCTAAGTTGTAACTTACTTTGGTAAAATGTTATTTATGTTCAACAAAACTTGTAAAATAAAGAAATTTAGTATGAGGTCTTGTTGGATTACTTCTTTTAATTCTTACTGGATGTCCCAATGATATATTATTTTATAAAGTTTTATTATTATTTTATAAAGTTTTATATTTATAGTTTTCATTAATAAAATAATGCTTTATAATTATAGTTATATAATGTAAATTTAAACTTGGAGCCTTTGGGGGGCAAAATTATTATAGTTATTGTAAGCACGTAATGAATACATCTCAAAGAATATTAAGAGTAGCTTATTAAATTACCTTCGGAGTCCATAACATTTTTTTTTTTGGTTATTGTTGAAAGGGGGTTGAAGAACAAAAAAAACGCTTGGGAATCACTGCCTTAGGGCTCTATCTGGGTCCTATTATCTTCTCTCCTTATATCTCTCTAGGTGATCACCACAGGTTCAAATATCATCTCTAGGCAGAGGATTCCTCCCAACTCCCATTCTCCCTCCTGAATTCTAATGCCATATCAATGGTCTGCTGATTATTTCCTCATTGATATCTAACTGGCAACTCAAATTCAACCTGTTCCAAAAAGTTTATTTTGATTTCCTCTCAACCCACCCTGCTTCCAAACTACCCTCTTTCTATTGAGGGACATCATTATAGTCCCAAACTTGAGAGACAGTGCGTGTGTGTGTGTGTGTGTGTGTGTGTGTGTGTGTGTGTGTGTGTGTGCTACAAAGCTAAAACAAAAATCAGTTCTGCTCTGAAGGAGTTTACTTTCTACTGAGGGATATAAAATGTACATAGACAAGGAAATGCAAGATCATTTGAGGACAGAAAACAGATGGTATCTAAAGAAGCCTTGAAGGAGGCTGAGAATTCTAAAACGCACAGCCAAGGGAATGCATTTCAGAAATGCTGCTATGAACTATGCAAAGGCATGGCCTTTTCTCTCTCCCATACCTCCTCCCTCCCCCATCTAAAAAACTGCCTAATATTTCCTTGGTAATGTAGCATCTCTTTTGACCTCTTCCCATAGAAGGTATTTACTACCTAGAGGTTCAAGGGGTACCCTACAGATAACCACTCCTAACAGTATAATTCATGAGCCCTCACTAGTGTATACATTTTAACTTAGAGTCTTTGGGGGGCATTACTTGTCATAACAGTACATGCAGGTAGCTCTTAGTATAGGCATTTATTAAGATGGCATAATAAAAGCAGTAACTGCAAAACATTCTTCATATAATCTTGGGGTATACTAACTCAAAAACACACAGTGTCCATGGGATGCACGAGAAGAATGGCTACAGAGTATAATGGCAGCAAGGCACACAGGGACGCATATGGCCAAGGCACCTCACAACTCTGGTAATGCAGGACCTACAAGTCCTTTTTTTCCTTTGAAAAATTCCCAGGGGGCTCCCTATGGAGCTTAGAATCTCCGCTGGGTGGCTGCTTAGCTGGGTTTGCAGGGTCTTTATTGCAGCTGATTTCTAGGGCTAGGTATTTCTGAATTCCATAGACAGGTCTCTTTACTGCCAGAGGTCTTATTTCTTAAAGCTGCTTCCTGATGAGTAATTGCCTCTCTTTACTCATATCTGTTGGAAGTGTGTTTATTTGCTCCCTCAGCTGTGCCTACAGTTCTCTCTCAAAATGCCAAATGCTGTCTCTCCTCCTGGTCAAGTGGCTCCTCTTCAAAGTGAGATGGCTGTTACAGGGATAGGGGGAAGAAAGAGAGAGAAATCTCTTTTCCCTTAAGAGGTATTTCTTTCCAGGGGTTGAGTTCTTCCTCCACTATTGGCTCAAATTGATGAACTAGCTACAGAGCTATCAACTCAGCCTTTTAAGGACCTTTGAAGAATGGCCAAATTTTCAACCCAGCCAGTTCTAAGCTGCTTTATAAAAGGGATCACAGAGTGATCCCTTGTTAATACATTAATGCATGGGTTCTTAACCTTTTTTCCCTCGTTGATCTCTTTGTCAGTCTGGTGAAATCTACAGACACTATTTCAAAAATGTTTTTAAATGCATAAAGCAAAATATATAGATTAAAAAGAAAAGCAATTATAATGAATTTGTCAAAATATTTCTTAAATAGCCTAGATTAAGAACCTTTGCATTATCACCTTATCAGGTGTTCTTACATCCTTCACATCTACCTCCTTATACCTCTATTGTTTCCACTCCTTATCCCTCATCAAGACAACCAGAGTAAATTCTTAAAAAAAAAACCTTTACTAGATTCTTTAATGCCCTAATTCAAGCCATCACTTCCCCCTCAACTGATCTCCCTGCTTCACCTTTCCATCCTCTATAGAGCTACCTTAAGTACAGGTCTAATTATATCATTTCTTACTTATTGCCTCTAGGATAAAACACAAATTTCTGCTGTTTAAAACCCTCTATAATCAGACTCCAATTGAATCTTACAAAATTTTTTTCATATTATTCTCCTTTATGCACTTGACATTTCAGCATGAGTCAACTGATTTCATTTCAATTCATTAGGACTCTATTCCAACAAGACACCAAATACCAGGCATTCAAAGACAAAAACAAAACAGTTCCTTCATTTAGGTTCTTATGTTCTCTTGAAAGGGGGTAGTGTCGGCAAAATACAAGATATACAAAAATGAATATAGTATAATATAAATTTGAAAGAGAGAATACTAAAAACTTGGGGCATCAGGAAAAGCTTTGTGGAGGATGTGGTACCTGAGCTGAGCCTCAGAGTAAGCTAAAGTTTTTAGTAACAGCATTCCAAGATTGGGGAACAGTTTATGTGAACATACAGTTGTTGGAAATTACCTGTTGAAATCAAAGAATAGCTAGTAGTCCATTTTGCTGGATATTCAACCATAGAGTTAATGGGGTGAAAGGTCAAGAATGACTCTTTAGTTTGTACATTTAGATGCACTAGAAGGATAGCATTACCCTCAACAGATTACATTCAGTAAACATCCAGCACCTACTACATGCAAAGCACTGTGCTAGGCCTCTGGCAAAAGTGAGAGTTCCTTATTCTACTGGGGATGAGGGCCTGCTGGGTTCTTCACTTGAAGGGCCACTATCTCAATTCAGGCCTGGATCACCCAGTCCATACTATTCCAACAAAATCTTAATTGGTCTTGGTGTTTCTTCTTTTCCCTCTCTAATTATAGCCTCCTCAGTTTCCCAAGCACAGACGTGGCCATGTCATTCCCTGCTCAAAAAGGTCCAGTATCTTTTGCTTCCAAGATCAAATGCAAACTCCTTTGATTGGCTTTCAAAGTACTTCAGGATCTAGCACTAGCCTACCATTCCAGATATATTAAGACATTATTCCCTTTCACAAATTCTGGAATTCAGCCAAACTGCCTTATTCCCTGTATCTTACATATGATATTACATTTCTTGTTACTGTGCCTTTCTTTGGGGCCTCTGCCTTATTGAATACCTAGTTTCCATAAAGGCTCAGCTTGTTTTACTACGTAAGACTTTTCTTAATCTTCCCTGGATGCTAGTGTCTCTTCCCTAATTCCTTCCTCCTCCAATTGCTTTTCCTTTACTTTGTACATACTTTACATTTTCTTCTATGTGTACATCTTGTTTCCTATGATGGGATGCAAGCTAGGGAACAGTTTCATTTAAGTCTTTTCATCCCCAGCAGCTGGCACTTAGTAGGCACTGAATAGATGCCTGAATTGACTCACATATAAGGTACACAGAGAAGTAAATAATTTCAAGAGCAGTTTGTTGAAGAAAAGGGAGAATTCTATGAGTTGTTTCATACACAGGAGACAGCCTGTGCAAAGGCATCAAGGTTAGGAATGGAATCTCATGTCTGGGGAACAGTTTGCAATCTACCATGAGGTTTGCTGGGCAAAGATATTGCAGTAGTTTCCCATTTCTTTTTCCAGTTTTATGCAGACAAGGGTTAAGTGACTTGCCCAGGATCATACAGCTTGGGTCTGACGTCGATTTTGATCTCTGACTCCAGGTCCAGTGCACTATCGTCTACACCACCTACCTGGTCCCAGCACCAATATGGCGAGAACCTATTGAGGATTAAAGTACAAAAAATGATATAATCCCTATTTACAATTAAGCTATTAAAACTATAACAATACTTTCGGGCCATCGTGTGTGTGTGTGTGTGTATAATACATATATATTTTTATAGAGCACAGATACAGGGTGAAGCACATAAGGATGTGTGGAGAAGGAGCAGGGGCAGCGGCAGGGAGGATGAAGAGCAGCTCAGATTTAGACAGTGAACAAGCAGCCGCACAGGGAGGGTAAAGGCCAGGGACGCAGACGAGGAAGATCACGAGCCAGGAAACTGCGGGGTGAAGCTTTGAGGGTGAAGCCGGGACACCAAGCGCACAGAGACGGCGGTTGTAAGAGCGATCCCTGTAGTGCGGGCCCCCGGAGCGTGAGGAATGGATGCACCGCAGGAGGTAGGCGAACTGAGCAGAGAGAAGGAGAAGGCCCCGACACTCTCCCCACCCTTCTCTCCATCTGGGCGGAACAGGAAATGCGGCCCCCACCGGCAGCAGTCATCCGCAGGCGAGCATCGAAAAATGGTCTTCTCTCTACGCAGACGACGCTAAGGGGGCGGGGAGTAAAGGAACCCATCCGGTGCGGTTCAGAACCAGCTCCCCGGATCCCTAAACCTAAGCGGAAGCGTTCCCCACTCGGTTCGCAGGGGACCACGTGGGGCCGGGGCAACTTCGTGGCAGGTGGAACCAGGGCGCCGACGCATACTGCGGGTCCAGGTGAGGTGGGCTCCAGGGGCGCAGAGGTCAAGGGCTCAGGCAGCCCTTGTCGGCGGGGATTCCCAGGGAGCAATCCAAGCCCCAACCCGGTTCCACTCCGGTCTGTCCCCGCATTAGAACCCGGGTTTTGATCCCGGGCGGGGGCTGGGACTCGGGGAAGCCCCTAAACATGGGGCCTTGGGGTTCGCCTTGGAGTTCCCCTTGGGGTCTTAGGTTCATGGGTTTGGAGCTGGATGGGACCTGGAGGGCCAGCTGACTCAGCACCATCATTTTACAGGTGGAGAAACTGAGGCATGATGAGGCGCAGTGACTGGCCCAAGGTCACATGGGCCGCTGCCAGCATCCACTTACAGGGATCCTTCTTCCTTTCTCTGCTAGTCAGGATGCCAGCCTACACTTGGTTCCTTTTCTCTCTGTCTCTTTCTCTCTCTCCAAGTTCCTTTATTTATGAAATTGACAAACATACTTTTTTTTATGCAGAGCACACAAAAAGACTGTATATCACATTATCAAAATCTATTTTAAAAATCTAGTATTTATGTAGTTCTTTAAGATGCTTTACAAATATTTTATCCTCACAGCAATCCTGGGAAGTAGATGCTATTATATTCCCCATTTGACACACGAAGAAACTGAGGAACACAGAGGTTAAGTTACTTGGCCCAAGATCACACTAGTAAGTGTCTGAGGCTGCATTGGAACTCAGGCCTTTTTGGCTCCACTTCCAGTGCTTTCTCTGTTGGATCACTTAGCTATCTTAAATGTGATTTTTAAAAAAATATATATTGAATTTTACTCAAAAAGTCCATCGTCACTGCCTCAGTTGCCTGTGGTTCATTCTGAACTTGCTTCTGCCTCTTCTCTGTGGTTTTAATGTCTGATACTTCCCCCCTTTTTTTTTTTGTATTACCGTTACTACCCTCTTATTTTTTTTCCCCTGCTGCACTATATGAAAGTAAAATAAGTATAGTCAAACAAAAAGGAACCATAAATTGACTGTCTGAAAAGGTTTGTCTCATTCTGCACCTCTAGTCCATCTATTCTCTTCCCAGAGGTTGGATGAATGTGTCATCCCAGGTCTTTTGGAGTAATGATTAGTCATCGTATTTATCATAGTTTTTAACTCATTCACACTTGTTTTCCTTTACAGTGTCATTGGACAAATTGTTCTCTTGGTGCTGCTGTCTTCATTTTGCATAATTTTATACAATTTTTATACAATTTATAATTGTATAAATATATTAATTATATAAATATATGTTGTACAAATATATAATATATAAATATATTAATTGTATAAGTATATATTATTTTATATGATTCTTCCCAGCTTTCTCTGAATCAGTTCCTTTTATCAATGTTTATGGTATAATAATATTCCATTACCTTATAACAAACTTTGTTCAGTCATTCCCCATTTGATGGGCACCCAGTTTGTTTACAGTTCTGTACAACAACAAAAAAGTGCTGCTATAAATATCTCGTACTCATGAGTCCTTTCCCTCTTTCTTTGATATCTTTGGAGTATATATATACCTAGTACTGGAATTACTGAGACAAAAGGGTGCATACTTACTCTTGGTTTCCAAACTAAAACTAGACAATAACAACCTTTCCTTTGCTCTAAGGGAAAGAGGTATAGATTGGGAGGAAGGAGACCTAGGTCCTAAACTGCTACCAACTAGCTTTGTGATTTGGGGCAAGTCACTGACTCTTTGGGCCTCAGTTTCCACATCTGTAAAATAAGTGCTTTGAACTTGAACTCCGACCTCTGAATGTTATGAGAATTGATAGAGCTATATAGAATAGAATCTATAGCACAGGCTTTTCTTACATCAATAGATTTGGTAGATCGGTAATTTCATCCGTTACCCCTCCTCCTGCTTCTTTCTTCCTTCTTCTATCATGCAGATAGCAAGGCTTAAGGGCTGAAAAATTCATCATTTGTTGGCTAGCCTCCTTGGTAACTCTACACTTGGCTACACTGGTGCCAAGGGGAAGATAGATAATTAACAGCTGTACTCAAAGCTATTCCAGCTTGGTCGGTCATGTCACAGCTTGCTCTCCCCACATGTAGCACCCAGGGTCACCTCTGCATCATGAGGCATCATCATAGGATTTGAATGGAGCACCACAAGCTCCCCTGTTGTTATGTACCACCTTGTATTGTCTTCTGGGTTTAGTGTGTACTACTTTTGTCATCTACAGATGAGTATAATTTAAGGTAGAGAGTGAAGGGGGAAAAGGATAGGGAGATTTCTTTTTATAAGAAGTCAGGGCAGGGATGCTCTGTTGCAACTTTTATATTCTTTTCCGTAGTTATTATAGTTCCAGTTAAGCAGTAAGTGTTTAATAAACACATACAGAATTAAACAGGAAAGGAGTAGGATCCATGGGATTGGGAGAAATGTTATATTCTTTTTAAAAATTGATATTTAAGCTAGTGGATTTAGGGAACTGGATTTATAATCAAAAAGCTTTGAGTTGGTATGATAGATTTAAATGGGCTTTACTCTGTAATCTACTTGGGAAGAATGATGATACAAACAGGACACTTACAGCCTCATTCCCCCACTCCACCCTCTAGGATCATGGCTAACAGAGAGCGTACTTTTATTGCCATCAAGCCAGATGGGGTTCAGAGGGGTTTGGTTGGAGAGATTGTTAAACGCTTTGAACAGAAAGGATTCCGTCTTGTTGGCTTAAAATTCATGCAGGTAAGTAAAGTAGGTCATTTAACCTCTTGAACAAATGTACTACCTCATTTGGCATGATGGGATGGAACACTTTCCCCTGGTACAGGAGTGGGAATGTTTGAGGGAATAAGGTATGGGAGTGGGGTGAACCGAGGTGATGTGGATTATTTCTCACTTTTCGTGATCTTTTGGGGAAAAGGGAGCATCAGTTTCCTTGAGGTAGTGCTAGAAAGTGTTCAGTGGCTTACTGTTATATCATGGGGCTGCATATGTCTGGGTGCCTTTGTCCCAGTTTATATCTGAATCTTTTTACTTTTGAAAGAAGCTTCCACCCTACATGGTAGAGGGCTTCTTAATAAACCTGTCATCCTTCTAATCCCATGTGCCCTGGGGCATGTTTGAGTTTGTAGTTTTGAGCTTTCCAGAACAGATCATTTTAGAAAACCAATTTCTTTTCTAAGGCAGGTTGCATTCCAGCCAGATCTTTCAGTCAGTCTACACCTATTGTGTGTAGAGTCCTGAATTATAGCCATGGTGGGAGATACAAAGAGGACATGGGCTGTGCCCTTGGGGAGCATCTGCTCTAAAGAAAGAGAAAGAACACTCACCCCTGAAAGTGAGGTTTTTCAGTTCCAACATCTCCTCTACTCACTCTTTGGTGCAGATAAGTTGAGAAATCATCGTACCTCAAAAACATGCCAGTTATGACCCACCCATCCCAAAAACATGGAAGGAGAGACAAGGAGCTTGGAGAATCCACAATGCAGGTTGGCAGTTTGAATAATTAGGAGTTGGCCATAAAAATCAACCTTAAATTTGCTCCAGAAAATTATAAAATCTGTCTGGCTTTGTTTCTGGACTGTTCCTCTCTGCTGTTGACAAATGATCAGGGAATACAAATTAATTTTAATATTTGTTTCTTACTGTAAAATAAGGGTCTTAGTCCTCTTCCATCTCTAAAACTCAGGGCTTTTCTATGATTAACCCAAGTCCAGTGGTATTAAATAGGGAGAAAAAAAAGAAAAAGCACTACACAATAATTCAATTCAATAAATCTTTATTAAGCACATACTATGTGTTAGGCACTGTGCTAAATGCTAAATTATGAAACTAAAAAGGAATGAATAACCATTCCCTTCCATTAGCACCTATGTTTGGGACTTGACCTCATCTATGATTGAATCAGGTATCTAAAATGTATACCATGATTTTAAGGGTGGGAATAGATTTAACACACTTTAGATCACTTCAGGGCCTTGGTTCTCATTCTCAGTTCTTTGGTTCAGGCTTCTGAAGACCTTCTCAGAGAGCACTACGTTGATCTGAAGGATCGCCCCTTCTATGCGGGCTTGGTAAAGTACATGCATTCTGGGCCTGTGGTAGCCATGGTGAGTATTTGTAGGGACTGTTTGTGTAAGCTGGGGGTGTTGGGGATAGATTAGGATGAATGATGGTAAATTCCCACTCCTGGGACAACTTGGTGTAGTGGCCGGAGTGCTAGACTTGGAGTCAGGGAGACGTGGGTTAGATCCCTCCTTTGATACCTGACCCATCTCTGAGTGTCAGGTTCCTGACTCTTCAGATCATCTGTATGACCTTGGCCAAGTGACTTTACCCCTCTTTGTCTTAGTTTTCTCATATGTAAAATAAGGGGATTGGACAAGGTGACCTTCTAGCTCTAAATTCATAGATTTAGGTCCCACTGTCACAGGATGGACATGCATGGAAAATGCATCGCAAAGCTGAAAGTGCCACATAAATGTCAGTTATTGTTGTTACTGTTACCATCCTCACTGATACACAGGGAACTCTGTGGTCTTGGAGGATTCTCAGAGTTGGAGATGAGCTGAACCCTCTGACCCATTTCAGAGAATGCAGATCTGTCTGTGGAATTGAAGGCCTATGATTTGAGGGTGAGAGGTCACCTAACCCAGGGTTTCTTAAACTTTTTCCACTCGAGACCCCTACAACACTTTTTAAACTGTGGGTTGAGACCCCATATGGGTCAGAGAAGTGCTGAAACTCATCCCCCAGTATCCTGGTTGGACTTCGTTTACTCTTTCCTAAACATATCTGAATCTTGGGTTTGTGGAGGCCTCACCAGTAGGTCCTCTCTTTAGGGGGAGAGTGCTCTTGTAATTAGCAACTGCTGGGTCATCCCCACTGATTCATTTTCTCCCTTGACTTCTTCTTCTTTTGTCCCTGTGGAGGTCTGGGAGGGGCTGAATGTGGTGAAGACAGGTCGAGTGATGCTAGGAGAGACCAACCCAGCGGATTCCAAACCAGGGACCATCCGTGGGGACTTCTGTATTCAAGTTGGCAGGTAGGTCTTGGTGCTTGTGGAGCTCATTGTCGGAGGGATTTGTACTCCTTCAGCACAACTGTGGGAGATAGAAATGTGCAGGAGTTGCAGTAATACTGGAAGGAGGTGTCTATCTTTTAGTAGATCTTTCTCACCCCGGGGCTTGGCTCTGGGACTCTCTATCTTAGCTCAGTCAACCAACATGATTATGCACCTGTGGTGCATTTAACCCTGTACTAGGCACTGGGTGTTTATATGTGGCAGTTGTGCAGGAGATAAAGAGGACCGACCCAATTGTCAGTACCACAAAAAGCTCCCCAAATTGTCTGTTGTTTGTCAGCTCTGTACCTGTACCACTGTGGTGGTGATGTTTGAGCCAGTCTTGTGGAAAGTTGTTATTTATAAAACAATAGTTGACAGCCTAATTTTTTTTTGGACTTTGTATCAGCTTAAATGGCTAGGTAAGTTTCAAATTATCAAAGGAGAGAAGTAGGAATCTGACAATTTTCATATCTTTGAAGGTGGGAGCCATTTGGAGGGAAGGTATGTTTTATGAATGCTTTAAAAAGAAGTCATTTCCCATTGACACCCACATTACCCTGCCTTTTAACAAAAAAGTACAGCTATGCAAAACTAATCAACACATGGGCCACGTCTGAAAAATGCATACTTTGTGCCACGTCTGTATTCCACTGCCTGTCCCCTGAGAGATGAGAGGCCTACTTCACAGCCCGAGCATTTTCTTTTGTGTTGTGCTGATAGTAGAATGAAGGGACTGCAGGAATGAGACTGTGTTTTTTAATCCCTTTTTCATTACTAATATGACAGATTTTTTTTTTCTTTGATGTCCTTTCCTTCCCAGGAATATCATTCATGGCAGTGATTCAGTGGAGAGCGCTGAGAAAGAGATCGGCTTGTGGTTTCATCCTGATGAACTGGTTGATTACAAGAGCTGTGCCCAGCAGTGGATCTATGAATGACGTGGAGGAGGCATGTGGAGCTTTCTCCATTGCCACAGGCAGGGTACCGGGATGTGACTCTGCCTATTTCCAGGGACTTCCATCTAGACTGTGGAGACTTCTGTGCTTGCCGTTAATGTTGCTTGCTCAGTGTTCCATCCTTCTGGTCATATTAAAAGGTTGTGGGAGCTATTGAGTGTGTCATTCTGTGATACTGAGGGGAAGGGGTGGCAGGACGTTAATGTTTCCAGCTTTCTTTTCTTTTCGTACATTATTGGACTGGTTAAATAAAGGAGTAGTGTAAAGAATTGACAAATCATTGATATTTAGCTTTGATGCAGTGGGGATTTACAGTTATAGAGAGAGAGAATGGGGAAAGGGGGAGGAGGAGGAGGTAAAGGAGATCCAATTTCTAGTCTTCTTTCATAGGGTTAATATGAAGATCGTATAATTGTTGGACATAGGGAGGGTATATTGCAGAAGTGATAGATATTCCCAAGAAGCTCTAATTCCCCTGCCATAGTAGGTAGGTCCTGTCATGCTGAACCCTAAGTACCTATGGCCTTGGTGATGCCAGTTATGACTCACTCAATTCTAAGAACTCCCCAAGAGATAGTTTTCTCGGTCATGGCCACTAAAACACCCTTTCCCAAGCAACTATTCAAGTACAGCTCCACATAAGATCACAGATCTTGAGCTGGAAGGGGTCTTAGAGGTCCCATGTAGCCCAGCGCTCTCTTTTACAAATGAGGAAATGGGTGTCCAAGTAGGGACCCGACTCACTCTAAGTCACAGGAAATGGCAGAGCTGAGATTCACTCAGGTCCCATGACTTACAAGTTCATCACTCATCACTGCACCATGATGCTTCCTGGAGCAGGGCAATAGTGAGGTTTAATTATACCAGTTTACCCCCTTACTGGACTTGCAGAGATAGGGAGTGACCTCTAAGGGAGATTTCCCCCTTACCCTGTCATTCTGTCTGCAGTAACGTTCTGCTTGATTTTAAATATAAAATATATGCTCATATTCTACCTTTAGCTCCTAATTGGCCATACCCTAATGATAAACTTTTGTCAATTACTGGTTGGCATTCATGCTGTCTGGCTTGTATAATACTGAAAATTGTGACAATTATAACTTTTTTTTTGTGCCAGCCAGAATCCCTTTGGTTCCCCCTTTGCTCACCTGCTGAGGTGATGAGTCTCTTGTCTTTTCTGTATTTCTCTGTCCCATGTCCTGCTTCCTTGGGTTGTGGAGCCCTCTGGGGCTTCCCAACGATCATCCCATCCGTCATGCTTTGTTGTACTCAGCTCACCCTCCCTCTTGTTCCTGGTAGTTCCTACTGCTGTTCGTTTTCTCCCTTGCAAGCTTGGAAACAAGCTTGGGAGGCAGGAGTGATGACCCCCTCCTACATTGTGCCCATGGCACATTTCAACAAGAGAAGGTGCTTTTTGCATAGTAAGGTTCCATGAAAATGTATCATGTTGTTTAATTTACCAGGGAAGTATTGAGCAATAGAATGCAGCATCCTCTAGGGCCAAGGGTGTTTTTTTGTTTTGTTTTGTCATTAGCCCAAGTATATAGAAAGCACTTAAAAAATGCTTCTTGAGTAAATGAATGAATGAGCATGTGCTATGGGGCCTGGTGCTGCGCTCTAACTGAAGGAGCATCAAAGGACTAGAGGAGGCCTTGTTTCAATTATCCCTTTTTCAAAAAGTTGGTTTGATGTATGTCATGACCTCAGAATAAACTGGTTGGTATTTTCCCTGCTTATTTGGGTATGGTGATTCTGGGATTCTGGATTCAAAAAGTGAGAAACAAAGCAATTAAAATAAAACTTTTACAGCATATACAGTATTCCACACCCAAAGTCCCCTACCTCTTCGATGAATCTCTCAACTCTTCTCTAGTGTCAAGCTTAGTATAATTGCATAGTGTTTGGAGTTGTTTTGAGTTTTATTTACGTTGTTATAGTAATTATGTACATGTATTATATATAACAATGTAAAGTGAATAAATACAATTTCTATAAAATAAATATAACATCCTATAAATAAAATCTATATACACGATTATATCAATGTAACTAGAACACCCCCACTGTGTAACAGTATATATGTATGTATACATACATGTGTATATATTTGTATGTCTATATACATATATATTTCTTGTTTTGCTAACTTCATTCTGCATCATTTATATTCCTGTCTTTCTGTAGATTCTTATTTGTAATTTTTTTAACTGCATGTCAATCATCCATTACATTCCTGTGCCCCAATTTGTTTAATCATTCCCCGTCCCCCAAGAAGCAGACTCCTACTTATACACAGAATAATCTGTATTTCAAATAACTGAGTCAGTCAGTAAACATTAAGGGCCTATAGTGTGCCAGACACTGGGGATACAAAGAAAGGTAAAAGATAGTCCCTTCCCTTGAGAAGGCCAGGTTTTACTCCTGTAGGTAGGTATACCTGCTCCAAGGTGCCTGGCAATAGGTATATTGGAGTGGAAGAGAGAATTGGGAAGGAGCTCTCTCTGTAGGTACTAGTGGCCTTACTTCTGAAGTTGACTCAGGACTAGAAAAATTACAGGTGAAACTCCCTTCTTGACCCCTAGGAAAGCCATTGGGTCTCCTTCAGTGGCCCTGTGGTCTCTCTGGGTTCCAAGCATGGGGCTCTGTCTGGAGGTTGTCTCAGACATCCAGGAACTGGAAACTGACAGAAAAATATCCTTGAGATAGGAAAAGGGCCAATCTGTGGTTAGAGGTAAAAAAGATCTCAGAGTTTTAGCTCAACCCTCATTTCGACTCGATAGTCCCACTTTCTCACCACAGTCAGCTCCCCTTCTTTCTGGCAGGTTGGAATGGTCATGGTGTGGTGAAAAATGACCTGGGTTCTATCCCTGCCTCTCCCAGCTGTGTATTTTTGAGGAAGCCATTTCTCTACTCATGGACTTAGTCCCCATCTGTGAAATGAAGGAACTTTAACTAGATCTCAGAAATTCCTTCCCACTCCTTCTCCCAGGTTAATATTATGCCAATCAATCCACAGGCATTTAATTCCTACCATGTATGGGCTCTGTGCCAACAGCTGGGAATCCAACTGCTGGAAATCCAAAAGGGTAGGAACTGAATTTAAGAGTTCATTGGTGGAGGGAAATCCTAGGCAAGGAAACTGGTGATTGCATCAGCCCCGGTGGATTCAGTCACCACCTATATGCTGATAATTTTCAAATTTATCTTTCCTAATCCAACCTCTCTGCTGACCTCTGTTCTTACATCTCCAGTTGCTTTTCAGATATCTGGAACTGGATGTCCAGTAGACATCTTAAATTCAATGTACCCAAAAATGAACTCATTACCCTTCTCCTAACACTACCCCTTCCTACCTTTTCTGTTACTGTCAAGGGCAAACCATCCTCCCAGTCCCCCAGGCTCACAACCTAGGAGTCATTCTCAGACTCTTCTATTACTTAATTCCCATATCCAAGCTGTTGCCAAGGCCTATTGATTTAATCTCTGCAACCTCTCTCGAATATGCCTTCTCCTCTCCTCTGACACTGCCATCACTCAGGTTCAGGCCTTCATCACCTCATGCCTGGACAATTGCAATAGCCTGCTTGTGGGCCTGCCTGCCTCAGGACCCAGCTCTAATCCATCCTCCATTGAGCCACCAGAGTGATTTTCTGAAGGACCAGTCTGATCGTATCATACGTCTCCTTGACCTCACCATGCCACCTCTCCCCCAATAAACTCCAGTGGCTCCCTATTGCCTCCAGGATGAAACCCTCTGCTTCACGTTCAGAGGTCTTCAGAGGCCTTCAGAACCTAGTTTCTTTTTACCATTGTTGTTGTTCAGTGGTGTCTGACTCTTCCTGACCCCACGGACCGTAACATGCTAATATCATCCACTGGGTTTTCTTAACAAAGATAAAAGAATGGTTTGCCGTTTCCTTCTCCAGTGCATTACTGCAGTTACAAGGTCACACGGCTAGTAACAATGTCAGGCGGAATTAAAACTCAGGTCTTCCTGACTCCAGGCCAGTGTTCTGAGCTCACCTAGATTCCTACTTTTTTTTTTGTTTGTTTTTTGTGAGGCAATTGGGGTTAAGTGACTTGCCCAGGGTCACACAGCTAGTAAGTATCAAGTGTCCGAGGTCCGAATTTGAAATCAGTTCCTCCTAACTCCAGGGCCAGGGCTCTATCCACTGCGCCACCTAACTGCCCCCTTGATTCCTACTTTTACACTCCTCTTATACCTTACTCCCCAACATTTACTCTTTGATGCAGCGACAACCTTTCAGTTCCATGGACTCCCCTCCTCTTCCCTTTCCTTGCCCCTCCCTCTCCTCGCCCATCCTCTCCCCCCCCTCCTCCCCTGTCCTTGCCCCTCCCCCCCCCCCCCCCCCCTCCTCCCCCCCTCCTCTCTTCTTCCCTCCTCCTCTCCTTTCCTTGCCCCTCCCCTCTCCTCTCTTCTTCCCTCCTCCTCTCTTCCCTCCTCCTCCCCTTTCCTTGCCCCTCCCTCTCCTCTCCCATCCTCTCCCCCTTCCCCCCCTGCTCTCTTCTCTGTTCCCCCCTCCCTCCTCTCCTCCCTTCACTTATCCCCTCCCCCTCTCCTCTCCCTCCCTTGCCTGCTTCCCGGCCCCGCCCCTTTCCCAGGCCCCGCCCCCTGCCGATGGGGGCGGGCTCTGGGCTCTGGGCTCCGGTCTCGGGCCTCCCAGCTCTGGGCTTCAGCGTGAGGTGCGGATTCCTCGGACTCCTCGGGCTCCAGCCGCCGCGTGCGCCGCAGTCACAGCCGCCCGTTTCTCCTGCTCCAGCCTGAGCTTCCCTGGTGAGGACGGCTGGGCCCCCGCTCCCCGCTTGCTGCCGTCCCCGCGGCTACGCCCCAGCAGGCGTTCCCTCCTGCCCTCGTCTCCCCCGTCTGGGGCCCGGCCGGGCCAGCGCCGGCTGGAACCGAGGAGGAGGAAGGGGAGGAATCCCGGCCGAGCGGAAGCTGCTCCTCCGCTCCGGGAGAGCCACGTGGAGCCCGGCGGGGCGCCGGGGGAGGGGTCCTCCAGGACCCCGGAAGGGGGGAGGGCGCAGGGCAGATGCGGTCCCCGCGGTCCCCTCCGCCCCACCCTGGGCCAGGCCGTCCCACGTGGCTGCCTGACCCGGCCGTCTTCTCTCCTCATGCAGGACCATGGCCAACACCGAGCGCACCTTCATTGCCATCAAGCCCGACGGCGTCCAGCGAGGCCTGGTCGGGGACATCATCAAACGTTTTGAGCAGAAGGGATTCCGCCTCGTGGGCATGAAGCTCCTTAGGGTAAGGGGACCCCTCCTTCCCCCTTCCCCAAGCCTCTGGGACCTGGTTTTTCAAAACTCTTTTGATAACTGGATTTCAGTATTATTGGTTTTCTTTGTAATTCCATGTACTTTATGCATTTAGAAACATTATTCTGAGAAGGGGTCCACAAGGGAAGTCCACAGACTCCCGAGGAGTCCGTGACCTAGAATGGTCAGTAGATATTTCAAAGCGCCCCCAGACCTCAGGCATAGCCCATTCTTTGCCCTTTCCCTTGAGAACACTCCTCGCCAACACCCAGCCACCGGTGGGGATGCAGAGGTTCTGGGCTACTCCCGGTTGTCTCCAGCAGCTTATCTGCATGCTTTTGAAATCAGAGCTGAAGAGTCTCTGTGCTCTAATTTTATGAATTAATGTACTGAAGGGGGAGGAAAAAAGAAAACCCAAACCACCCAGCCTGATCGCCATTTTTTCTGCTCCTCCTTCAACTCTTTCCTGTCCCTTACTGGGAGGGGGGGGCTGATTGGGGACGGCCTTCTCCCTTCCGGGGGGCGGGCAGCTGGCTGAATGACAGATGCCCTTGGCTAAGGTGATTTGTCCCTCTCCTTCTGTGACCCATAAGGATCCTTCTTCCACTTCAGACCTGTCTCTAGCTTCCCTCAACCTTAGGGATGGCAGCTGAGAGAGAAAATCAAGCCTTGGTCACTCAAATGCTCCATCTTCATGGCAGGAAACCTTTATGGAGGATTAAAGCCTTTGCAGTTCTTTTTCCTGAAATACTCAGATATTTTAATTCTGCCTTGTTGTATACAACAAAATGTCTGCCCACGTGGCTTGGATTCATAGGATTAGTAACTAGTGGACCATGTTATCAAAGAAAATAGTTAAGTGAGGTTGGGTTGGAGTTACAAAGTCCGGGGCTGGTCAAAATCTTCAGAGTAAACAATTTTAAGAGATGTTGCCCTCAGAGGCAATCTGACACAACCTGTATGTACATAAAACAGCAGTCCCTTCTGGTATCCCTGAAAGGTAGTAACCTGGTGAGGGGGACCCAGACCAGTGCCTCTAGGCGCTAGAGTCTAGGGGAAGGCAGACCATTCCACTTTCTGACAGTCTTAACTGTTCAGAAGTTTTTCTTTGTATTGAGATGAAATCTCCTTCTCTAATTGGCTTCTACTAGTTTTACCCTCAGGGTAAAAAGAAAAGTTTAATCTTACCTGTCCAAATGGACAGCCATTCAAATACTTGAAGCATTTAAGGCTAAACATGCTCAGTTACTTGAATGGATTTTTCCCACCATTCTTAAATATATTTTTATTTATTTTGTTAAATATTTCCTGATTATATGTAAATTTTTTTTAACATTCCTTTTTAAAATTTTGAGTTCCAAATTCTCCTCTTCTTTACTACTCCTCCCCACCCCTTGAGAAGGCAACCATTATGATACCGATTATAATGTGAAGTCATACAAAAAATTTCCATGTTAGTTATGTTTCCTTGAATGGATTTTTGTATATCCCCTCATAATCCTGGTTGTTGCCCTATGGACTACCTGATTCAGTGTGTAGAGTGATGTCTTCCTCCTTTCCCAGCTGCCTTCAGAGTATAATATAGGTGATTTATCTGTATGCAGATGCTGAATTTGCCCGAGTTTTTAGAAAACACCTTGTTGGCCGAAGTGGTGTTAATCTCCCTTCCTCTTCTCCCGTCTCATACTTGGATAGGGAGACTACAGGGTCTTCCTCTAGTAACCCCCATTATTATGTGCCCTTAGGCCTCAGAGGAACATCTGAAACAGCACTATGTTGATCTGAAGGACCGGCCATTTTTCCCTGGGCTTGTGAAATATATGAACTCAGGGCCTGTTGTAGCCATGGTAAGTATCTATGTGCTTGAAGCCAAGGGTTACTGGGTTACCATTTCCTAGGAACTTTGCCTTAAAATCTAGCTTACAAGCCTTTGCCTTACATTATTCTTCATTATGTGATTTAGTTCAATAAAGACTTAACAGAGCAATTGCTGGGTGCAAAGACACTGGGGGTTTAGGGTTACCAAGAATTGCTACTGTTCTTTATTTTATTAAATTTTTATATTTTGTTTATTTTACAAGCATTTATTCTCTATCCTTTCTACTTACTTTCCCAGTTGAACAATTAAAAATAAAACCCTCATAACGAATTGCATAAACCAGCAAAACAAATTCCCACGTTGGCCATGTCCAACAGTTTGTCTCATCTTGCATTTTAATAGCTAGCTAGCATTTAGATAGTGCTTTAATGTTGGCAGAGATCTTTACAAACATTTGATCCTCAAAACAACCCTTGGGAGGTAGTGCTATTATATCCATTTTACAGATGAGGAAGTTGAGGCAGACAGGTTAAGTGACTAGTGTCTGAGGCTGGATTAGAACTCTGATTCTAGAATTCTGATACCAGGATTAGCTGTCTACCCACTGTGCCACCTAGCTTCATACCTTTACACTTCTTTTGAAGTAGGTGGGTAGCATGCTTCATCTTCTGTCCTCTGGAATCATGTAAGGGGTTGATATTTGAACCTTATTTTATAGGGGGAATAAAAAGTTCCAATAAGACTATTTCCCAATGGAATGGAGCTTACAGTGTGTTTGTAATGCTCTCTCATTTTAGCGGGTGCAGCTAGGAAAGGTGATTGAATTTTAGGAAAAGGAGAGAAGACAAAAATGACCTGATGTACCAGGGCAAAATAGAGTATGGTTTGAATGGCTTCATTCTTTGGATTCTGGCTGCCCACCAAAAAGGCTGCTGTTAGAAGTTTTTTCCTTGATAATTTTGAGTTCTAATTAAAACATACTTTCAAGGTGGTCATGTGGAAAGGAAGAGAAAATGGAGGGAACAGTATGGTAGGCTGCTTTTTCATCGATTATATCCCACCTGTGTGGGTCTTGGAGGAAGTGAAAGCAATAAGCAAATGACATCCTGAGTGGGGGTTGTCATAGACTGGCCTGTCAAGGTGGCACTTGCCTTACCTGCAGAAATCAAGGAAAGCCTTGTAGAGAGGAGTCTTGGATTAGGAGTCAGGAGACCTGGATTCAGTTCCTAGCTTTGCTGTGTGACTCTAGGCCTCAATTTCTTCATCATTAAAATGTGAATTTTGAACTGGTGATCTCATATAATTTCTTTTTTTATCTCTGTCCTTTTCCCTACCTGGTGCCACCATCCCTTTAAAACCCTGCTCAAAACTCATCTTTACTCTTTATCATTCCATCCTAGGCTAATCACTATTCATTCTTTTACCGATGTGTATTCTTTTCTGAAGTTTTGTATTTCTCAAGTCATTTTATCTCTCTCTCTCTCTCTCTTTTTTTTTTTTTTTTGGTGAGGTAATTGGGGTTAAGTGACTTGCCCAGAGTCACACAGCTACTGTTATGTGTCTGAGGCTGGATTTGAACTCAGGTCCTCCTGAATCCAGGGCTGGTGCTTTATCCCAAGCACCACTCATTCTCTCTTTTCTCCCAAACTAGATAGGGACCTGCTTGAGATAAGGAGTTGGGGATTGTTTTGTTTTTTCTCTTTATAACTATAATGTTGGGAACAAGGTTGTCTATATGCCAGGGGCTACTCTGTACCATGACTAGTCAGAACATAAACCTAATGTGAATTTTTTGTTTTGCCTTTCTTTCCTTGCTATGGAGGTTTGGGAGGGCTTGAATGTGGTGAAGACAGGCAGAGTGATGCTGGGAGAGACCAACCCTGCTGATTCCAAGCCAGGCACCATTCGTGGGGACTTCTGCATTCAAGTTGGCAGGTAAATTCTGGGAATTTTAAGGCCCCTCGCTGAGGAGTAAAAAAATTCCATTGCTTTGATTACATTTATATGTAGGGTATATAACCCTGATGGATGAAAATCCAAGTTTATAAAAAGCTGACAAAGTAGGCAGTGTTCACTATCCTCAGAGGTGGGGTATAGTGATTGATAGAGCTGGCTTTGAAACCAAAATACCTGGTTCAAGTCCGGCCTTTGACACAGATTGGTTTTGTGACCCTGGACCAGACACAGTCTCTCAGTGTCCTGGGCAACTCTGCCCAGTGAGACTAAAAAGTTGCAGAGAAGGTGCCAGTCTACATTGATAGAGGGAGTTCTCTATACTGATGTAATCGTAAGGTCAGTCTATATCCCATCACTGAAAAAAATTGGGAGTTAAAAAAAAAAACCCTCAACAGTAGCAACCTTTCCTACTGCATTTAAAATAATCCAATTTATAAGATTGAAATATGCAAGGGAACTGCTTAAATATCAGCATGCTGGTTCTATTCTCCTAACCATAAATGATGAGGGAGTTGGGTGAGGATTCATGCTCTCTTAGCCAGATCTGTGTCTAGGCAGGCCTTTTAATATTATAGATTTAGGGTTGGAAGGTCTGAGATAGCATCCCTTCATTTGCTAAAATTTGGGAAGGAGTCATTTACTGGCCTTAAGGGGGTATGGGGGAGGAGGAATTTAATGACAGCAGTAAAGATGCTGTGACAAGGATTCTGTTAATTGGCAGTTTGGGTAATCTAATCTGCATTAGTGTAGTTACTTGTATGAACAAACACACTTAATGGGTGTTGGTCACTACTTGCTCTTCTAAGCAATATGACTTCCTGAATCACCAGGTCTCACTTGAGGGGTACTAGAAACACTTGGTGTTTTTAAATAGCTGTTAATTGTTTGTTTACAACATGGTAACTGATAATTATTATTTCCTTAGGAACATCATTCATGGCAGTGATTCTGTAAAAAGTGCTGAGAAGGAGATCAGCTTATGGTTTAAGCCTGAAGAGCTGGTCGACTATAAGTCTTGTGCTCATGACTGGGTCTATGAATAAGGATTTTAAAAGTGGATTTAGACTGGACCTACTCCTTTTAGTAGCTGTGGTATGCGTGTGTTATGTCTTCATCACTGAGTGAGAGTGTGTGTGTGTATGTATGTCTGTATGTCTGTATGTCTCCATCCCTGAATACAACATTTCATGCCAGGGGATTGAAAGGAATTGGAACCATTGTTTTCTAAAACAACCCTGTAATCCTGTTCAATAAAGCAATCTTGTGTGGTTATTGAGTTGAAAACTTCTGGATTTTAAATAAGTTAATTGAAACCCTGACATGTTGCATTCATGATAGCTTGCCCAATCAAGGTCACACAACTGACAGGTTGGGATTCACATACAGGTAGGTCCCCTTGCAACACTCACTCTGCTGGCTTGCTTCCTTCCAACTTCAATTGGTCCAGTTAGTACAAGGAAGCTCATCTATACCCTTTCTCCATCAAGCGCTGAGCACTTAATATTAAACTTGTACTATTGCTCATCATACTCCATGTGTACAGTGGTTTGCCACTCTTATTTCTACTGTCATAGCCTGTATGGGTTCCTTTCCCTGCTTACAGCTTGAACTGGTCTCTGCTTCTAGTCCCCACTCATTTTGGTCCATTGTCCACATAGCTGCTAAAGGGATTTTTCTAAAGGCTAAGTGATCATGTCACCCCTGCTCTTCGGTAGCACTGACTTTGTAGGGTCAGATATAAAGTCCTCTTTTTGTCTACTTAACTGTTTTCCTAGTGTAAGCTTCTTCCCTGGAGAGGAACTTGCTGTCCCTTGCAGGTGACACGCCTTGTTGCCTTTTGTGTTGGCCATCCCTTAGCCTAAATGCTCTGTCTCTTACAATTTCTGGCTTCAAGACAACTCAAATACCTATTTACGCAGGATGCCTTTTCAGGTCAAAAGGTGAGTTCCCTTCCACTGTTGGGCCACCACCCAGGGCACCCTCCCCACTTCTCCATCTGAGGCTGCCAGAACCAAGGTGCTTGATTGCACATGACTTGGAGATAAGAAGTTATCAACTTTACTCCTAGGGAGACAGTGGACTACCAAGATTTAGTATCTGCCTGGCTGGCCTCTGTCATTCACATCCCAGGCATGTCATCTGACTTGATCTGGCCCCGCATTGCACCCTGATATGACTTCCAGGCTTTTCCCATTCTCTGTTTTCTATTTGTATGCTTAGAACTTAGCACAATGCTAGGCACACAGCATTTAATAATTTTTTTTTTTGCATTCATTGATGGATCTTGATTTATATTTATATATCTCCTCCATTAGAATGTAATCTTGAGAACGGTGTGGAGGGGGGTGGTGTTTTTGCATCCGAAGCATTTAGCATAGTGCCTGTATTTAATTCACTAATAGGTGAGTGCAAAATTAAGATAAGCAGTTAGTGTTTGCAGGGTAAAGATGTTATGAGGAATTCAGCTGGGCTTCGTGGGAAAAGATAAATTGGGGTCTTGGACAAAGGGTCCACTGTGGGACAGTGGTGAGGGTAATATTCTGGTGAGTAAACAAGCTTCGAGTTCATGAGGTTTGGGTGAATAGAAGAGAGAGCCTGACGTACAAGTACTGGATGTGGAATCAAGAAAGACCTGGGTTTAAACCCCACCAGTTGGGTGACTACTGGCAAATTACTTAACCTTGGCACTCAGTGACTTGCAAAATGAAGGGGCAAGGGGGACATAATAGCACTTTTCTCATTGGGTTGTGAAGATTAAGGAAATGATGTTGGTAATCTGCAAATCTTAGTCCTACCTGAGTGCTTCTGAAGTTGGTTCTACAACTAAATAATTGGTAAATTACCAAGCAGAACTAGATAAAGTGTCTGGTTTAGCATGGAAACTTTAAACAGGTTAATAACATGAATGAGAATGAAAACTCTTGAGACAGTAAAAGAAAGCTAGCCCGGGAAACTTAATTCACCAGGGGAACAGCTCAAAACCAATTAAGTTATATAGGAAGCAGAATAGTGGCTAATTAAATCCAAGTAACTATTATGTGCAAAACACTGTATTATGTAGTCCCCATCATCAGAGATGAGAATGTAACAGGAGATACTAATTTACCACATGTTTAGGTGCCTACTTGGTACAAGGCATAAAGCACTTCCAACAAAAAACCCAGTCTCTGTCCTCTAGGAACTTAAATTCTACTGGGAATATAACTGAATACAGAAGGAAGAAAAGTACTAACAACTGGGGAGTTCCAATAGGCCCTGAAGATAGCACTTGAGCTAAGCCTTGAAGAATCTACAAGGTGGAAAGTAAGAAAGGAATTTCAGCGATAGGCAAGGGAAGGGACATGGCAGATGGTATGTTAAGTTTGGTGAGCAAAGGAATTCATGAAAGTAATAGAAGTTTGGAGAGGTAAGTGGGAATATTTTAAGGTCAAGAAAATTCTAAGTGAGTTAGGTGGGGCTAGATGGAAATTTGGGAATATCTAGTTGATCTGGAATGTTGAGTGCCCAAGAGACATGAAAAACCTCCCTCTGTGTATTGCAGGAAGTGGGGCACTAGGTGTGGAACACTGCATATATAGTCAGGCACTGTCAGGTATTGGTTAGCTAATTAAAACCAAACCAAACCAAACCAAACCAAACCCTTTTAACAAATATGCACAGTGAAGACAAATTCCCCCACTGGCCATGTCCAAAAGTATATGTCTCATTCTTCATATTTGAGTCCATCACCTCTTTCTTAGGAATTTGATGGAATCCTTTATCATCAGTCTTGGATTTGTGACTGGTTATTGCATTTATCAAAGATCTTAAGTCTTTCAGAGTTGTTTATCTTTATGGTATTGTTTTTATTATATAAACTATTTTCCTGGTTCTGATCACTTCAGTCTGCATGGGTTTATACAAGATTTCCCAACTTTCTCTGAAGTCATTTGCCATCATTTTATGACATAAAAGTATTCTATTGTATTCATATACCATAATTTGATGAGTTATTCCCTACTTGCAGGGCACCCCTTAAATCTCCTTGGAAAATAGGCCTTGTAGTGGAATAACTGGGGCAAAGGGTTGCACAATTTGGTAACTTTATGAGTATAGTTATACATTGCTTTTGTTAAAATAAAAAAAAAATTTTAAAAAATTGATCAAAATTCACCTTTTCTGACTCCTACTTTCTTTGCCCCATTGCAAAAGAAAAACAAAACCTCTGTAACAAATATGCATAGTGCACCCTGAGAACACCCTTTTCTCTGTCAGGAGCTGGGTAACCTGTTTCATTGAGTCCTCTAGAATCAAGGTTGATCATTGTGTTGATCAGAGTTCTTACGTCTTTCAAAGCTATTTGTCTTTAAAAAGCTGTTATTGTACTCCGGGTTCTAATCACTTTTCATGGCATCAATTTGTACAAGTCTTCTCGGGTTTCCCTAAAACTGTTCCCTTTATCCTGTCTCACAGCATAACGGTATTCCATCTCATGTATATACCATAATTTGTTCAGCCATTCCCCAACTGAGGGAAATCTTTTAGATCTCTTGGGGGTACTGGCTTAGTAGTGGCAGTAATACGGCTGGATTGAAGGGCATGCATAATTTAATGGTTTTTAATATAATTCCAAATTGCTTTTATTTGTTTTTCAATTAACAAGCATTTAATTTTTTCAACCACTCTCCCAATTAAGGAGGGAAAGGGAATGGAATAAGCATTTATATAGCACCTACTATGGGCCAGGTACTATGCTAAATGCTTTACAGATTTCTCATCTGAACCTCAAAAGAACCCTGAGAGGTAGGTGCTGTTAGGACCCACATTTTACAATTGAGGAAACCGAGGAAAACAGAGGTGGCAACTTGCTTAAGAGTCACACAATTAGTATCTGAGGCCAGATCTGAAATAAAAAAAGAGAAAAAACCCTTACAGCAAATTTACAAAGCCAAGCAAAACAAATTCAGCATCCAAAAATCCATGTCTCATTCTCTATCTTGAATACCTTGCCCCCTCGGTAGGACAGATGTTCGTCATTGCTTTGATCAAGAGATTGTAAGCTTATCACAGTTGTCTATATCACATGGCTGTTAGGGTTCTCTTGGTTCTGCTTATCTCATTGCCGGTTTTCTCTGAACCCCTTTCATAATTTCTAATGGCACAACAGTGTTCTACTATATCCACATATAATTTGTTCATCCATTCCCCAATGATGGGTACCCCCTTAGTTTCCTGTTATTTACCATAACAAAAAGAGCTGCTACAAATATTTTTGTATGTACTGACTTTTTCTTTTCCTTCTTTGATCTTTTTGGGGATATAGGCTTAGTGAGTTATTGCTGGGTTGAAAGTTTAATGACTTTTGGGGGATGGTTTGTTTTCCAAAATGGTTGGACACTCCACAATTCCATCAACATTAATCAATGCCCCTGTTTCTCCATTGCCTCTCCAAAATTCTTTTTATCAGAGAAACTTGCTGCAAACATTTTTTCCCAGTTAACTATTTCCCTTCTAGTTTAGCCACACTGGTTTCGTTTGTGCCAAATCTTTTCAATTTTATGTAATCAAAACTGTCTATTTTATCTTCTGTGATCTTCTCTATCCCTTGTTTGGTTATGAATGATTCACCTATCCACAGATCTTCAATTAAAATTTCTTCCTTGTTTCTATAATTTATGATGTGACCTTTTATATTAAGTACTGTGTCTATTTGGAGCTAAATTCCACTGCTGTGATATGTTACGTATGGTGCGTATCATGTGAGGTGTTGGTCTAAAGCTAATTTCTGCCAGAATTGGCCATGTCCAAATATATATGCTTGTCTGTGCAAGTGCATGCGTATCTGTTTCATTTTGCAGAGTCCACCTCTCTATCAGGAAGTGGGTAGCATATTTTATCATCAGTCCTCTGAAACCATGGTTGGTCATTATGTTGATTAGAGTTCCAAAGTCTTTCAAAGTTTTTTTGTCTTTAAAATGTTGTTATTGTATCAGTTGTTCTCCTGGTTCTGATCACCTCACTCTGCAATCAGATCATATAAGTCTTCTCACATGGTTTCATTTCTTACAGCACAGTAGTATTCCATCATATTCATATACCTTAATTTGTTTAGCCATTCTCCAATTTATAGAGAAACCCTCAGCTTTGTCACCTCATTCTTTGTCACCTCAAAAAAGCTATAAATATTTTTGTACATCCTTAGGAGTTTGTTTTGCTTGTTTGTTATCCCTCTCTTAATCTACTCTCCCTCTAATTTCCCCCACTCTTCTCTCCCTGTTGAGTAATATATATATATATATTTTGGTACCCAACTATGTGTGTGTGTGTGTGTGTGGGTAAGTATTTTTCCCTCCTTTGATCAGTTCAGATAAGAGTGAGGTTCAAGTATCCGTTGCTTCCCAGCACGCCCTTGTTTGTATAGATATAGATGTCAATTTGCAAACTTGGATTATGTGAACTAATTTTGCCCCTGCTCCTTGCCTTACTGTGCTTCCTCTCTTCTAAGATTATCAGGGCAAAACAGAATCATTCCCAGACCATGCCTCCCTGCATGACCCCACAGGATCATTTTCCTGCCAGGCCCACCCTTCTTTGGTGTTATTCCCTTTCATTTTACATACCAAGACACTGCCAACCTTGCTGTTTCTACCTCAACGCCATCTCTTACATCTGTCTGTTTCCTTCTACTTATACAGTCACCACCCTAGATCAAGTCCTCATCACCTCTCCCCTAGACTACTGCAATGGCTTCTTATTTGGTCTTTGTGCCTCAAGTTTTTCCCCACTCCAATCCATCCTCCACACAGCCACCAAGGTGGTTTTCCTCAGTCCTGGCTTTGTTGATACCATTTCTGCACTCAAACTCCAGGGGCTTCTCTGCTGTCTTTTAGAGGCCTTCTCAACCAGATCTTCCAGCTTTATTATGTGTTATTCTTTATCCTGCCCTCTATGGTCCAGGTGAACTGGCCTTCTTTCTTCCTCATCAAACACTTCATCTATCCTCTCTAGGTTTTTTTGCACTGGCTGTCCCCTGTGCCTGGAATGTGTTCTCTTCCTTACTGCCTCCTCAAAGAATCCTTTACTTCCTTCAAGACTCAGGATTCTACATTCTACAAGAAGACTTTCTTGATCTTCTCACTTCCTAGTGCCCTCCATAATTACCTTGTATTTAAAATCCTGTCATTTCTTTAAATGTTTGTCAGCTGACTGAATGGCCCTCTCTCTGAAGCAAGGTGAAGGAATGATATATCCAAAAGCTGGGTTGAACATAACACAATCAAACATCCAGTGAGTGGGGCTGGCTAGTTTGGGGCACGGAGGATCATTAACCATCTACCCCAAAACACAAAATTGGTTTTGCCATACCCCTGAAAGTTCTTAAAATTTCCTGATGCAAATATTTTAGATATGAAGACATCATTAGTGGAAATAAAACTGGTAATTTAAAAAAAAGTTTTCTTTGAATGAAGATTGCCTGCAGCAAAACAAGAAAACATAAATGTAAATAATGCAAATTTTCACCCATACAAAGCTTACGTTAACATTTTATTTTGTGTAAAAAAGGGCAAGTTTAGTGAATTATTTTCATCTTGTACACAAAGTTATAATTTTAATGCTTTTCACATCCATGCTGAAAATCTGCAATTTGGTAAAAATGAAAGGAACATAAATTTTTCCAAAAGCATTTTTCACTTAGTTATGTACACTTCATGAGAAAGTTTTAAACACTTTCCCACTGATCACACAATTACCAAGAAAATAAAAGATTAAATTTGTACAGATATTGATCTATATATCAAATACATACAGAAATGATGTAAAAACCCTATGTAGTTTACTTTGACTTCTGCCCCAAAGATCTACCCAGGGACAGATGCTTTTTTTTTTTGTATAAATGACTGTGGCTTTATTTAAAATATGAAAATTAAAGGAAAAAAACCCAGTTTAATCACAGTATTTAAAAATCCCTTCCCAATATTAAAGGATCATCACCAAATATATAGCACCATAATACAAATATTGATGGGAAAGGGTATTCACATCACATAGTAATAATAATAATAATAATAATAATAATTAAAACAAAACAAACAAACACTGAAACCCGTGTTAGTATCCGTAGAACAAGAAGTTGATAACAGCTTTAGCTTTCCTCATACACAGCAAGGAAAAGGTTAAAGAGTTTAAACTACCAAAAATCCCAACTTGGGGAAAAGGGAAAGAAAACTCAATGTCAGCAGTACATTTTGAACTGTAAAGGAAAATGGGGCTATTAAAAGTTGTACTATTTAAGTTATGGCTAAGACATAAAATTTGTAAGCCTCATAAAGAGATGATTTTCTGATCATCTGCAGTAGGGGGACTCCTCTTATGACCTCACAAAGTTCCTGTCCCCTCCAACATTTGGTCACAGTTTTGAAACAATAAAAGCTGTACCTGCACTATCATGATAACAAAAACATGCCATTTGGACGGGAGATTCTAACCACTTAGTGTGCCTGGTTTAGTTTTATAACTGGAAGCTGACAGTGTCTGGGCTACAAGTGAGCATTTAGAACTACCTCTAGGACAGGCTGGCCTCAGATCTGACCTTCCTGCTTTACATTTTAATTCCCTGTAGACTCCCCAACCCCAGGCTGTACTGACCTCAAGATCTAAGTATTCAATGGGGAGGTGGGGTAAGCCATAAAACTTTGGCTTCTTATGCCCAAATTAAATGGGCTCAGAATCCTGAATTTGTCACTGAGCCTGAGGATTGATTTAAGACAACTGCTACCTTTCCTTTGGAAGTTTCCCAGTTTTCGGTTAATAAGAGGATTCTGAAAAGTTAAAGATTTAGGAGGCATTGAAAATACTATATTTGGATTAGGTCCTCCTCCTCAGCAATCTTAGTTTGGATAAGTAAGTAACCAGTAATTTAACAGCTGAATTCACATACATTTGACACATGAGAATCAACTAGTGTTGTTGATATGATCTACATGCCCCAAAAGGTCAGTATTAAGAATGTTGACACTGGGGTTCCATATATTCCTACGAGATAAATAACAAATTTTACTTCCAGTAGCAATTACAAAACCACATGTTATTAACCCCTCTTGCATAGAATGAGGTAAACCTGTGCGTATTACCAATGTTATGTACCCAAAATTAGAGCAATATTTTAGAAAATAAATTGCTGGTTTTCAACTTTCTATGCACTTTTAAAAGTCAAACAAAAACTTAACTAAAATGGTCTCCTGGGGCTTTCTGTTAACAGTTTTTAAAGCATTCCATAGGCTGAAGGACTGTAGAGGTTAATCACGTTGATTATTTTCTAATTAGCCCTACCTACTACCTACCTATACTCCAGAGGAGATGGTCAATATAGCACTCTGAAGGGGACAGGCTAAGGCCCAGAAGCACTTAGAGAACACACGCAGTTAATTCCTGAGAATTTAGTTAATGAACCTTACTGGTAAAAGCTAAAACTCTCTATTTTTTTTCAGTCACAACTCAGTAGAAAGCTTAAAAATGCAGAGAGCACACGTACCCCCTCCCACCACCCTTTTAAAAGAAGCCACATACACTTTAAAACAAGGAATGTTTACATGGTCCAAATCAGTTGTTACTTCTGTTAAGAACTTGTTTTGGCTGTAGTGATATACAGTTTTTACAGTACATGGGAATTTTTAAGAGAATGAACACATTCCTTTTCAAATTTTCAATGACTTTTTAACAATTAAAGCATAACTGGAATGACTGTGAAATTTAGACTTATTCTGGCTTTAGAAGATGCTCCATTTCCACTTTCTGGCTAATACAGAACATCTGGCTTTGGGGTGTGCTTATGCTAAATGTCATCTCACAGAATGAGAAAGGAAGAGATGTCAGAGAGGAAAGAAGAGAACCTCTTATCTCTTTTGTAGGGGTGTTTTAGAAAAAAGAAAAACTTAGGACAATCTTGCATTTTCCCCAACCCCACTTTGCCAAGACAAAGATGCTATGCATAAGCTCATGTTAACCATTCCAGTTTAATTAACACATAAGTGTTAAAATAATTTTGACCATTTCTAATTAAAAAGATAACTTGTAAAAAGTATTTAGAGTTCTTCCAGTTTCATATAGAACTCCAACAAATTTTCTTGAGCATTTTCCAGAATGAAAACATTTCTGTACAAACATTTAAAATGGTCTGCAATAAAATGCCAACAACTCAAAATTTGTCCCACCTTCCATCGTGATCTATGTGGTGATGCTCCTTCCACGAGGGCATCGGTTGCATATTTCTGCAGCAGAGGAAGTTGGAGATGTGACTGGCATAGTTTCGAAGATTCCAAAATCTCTCAACTTGTACCAAAAAAAAGGTTCATTTGTAATGACAGTTCATTTGTATTTGCAACTATATCCTTCTTAAATCGTTTCCTGCAATCCTGTTACTTAAACTTTTAATCTTACCAAAAAAGTTAGAATTTCAGTTCTTGTTAACAATGCACAATAAATCCAAACTTGGAAAATATTACAAAATTCTTTCAAAAGCTTCAAATACAACACAAAAATGTCCATCTTTATAAATTGAAAAATTTTCCCCTGACTAAAATAGTTTCCCCACCCACCTCAAAAAATCCAGAACTTAAATCTCTTCTATGGTTAGCAAAGTGACCCAGTAGAATTGTCCCCCTGTCCAGTTGGGTTGGTAATAAATCCGTCCTGCTGAGAGCTCTCCCTTCCCCTGGTTTCTGAGCTGTCACCTCAGGGTTCTTGTTTGATGTAGTAGCTGGCAGAGCCATTGCTTTCCTGATCAGAAGCTCCTTGGAGGAAGCTGTATTCCTCTCCATCTAGCAACTCTTCCTTCAGCTGCAATGGAGTCACTACATTAAAAGAAAAAGAAAAAGGAGACATACATACCTAATACAGTCATGCCCTTTATCCTCCAGTCTAGCCAACTTTATAGATAAGAAGGCTTCTTCATCCCTTGAGTAACTTAAAAAAACACTAAATTGTAAATATGAGCATCAAGGTGATTATAGCAACAAAGATGTTAAAGGAGATTAACAGATAATGAAAAGCCATGCAAATATGAAAGACAAATACTTGGTGTTCCTCAGAGGGCACTTTCCATGGCAAGTATAAGACCATGGTGTTGGTTATTTGGATGATAGTCATGTGCAAAGTTATTCATTCAATAAGCATTTATTTCATATAATAAACGCTTACTGAACAATGAAAGTCTATATTTAACCTTGAGGATTTTGTCAGACGATGAATGAAACAAGAATTATGAAGTGAATATTCTAATAATCTTTGGTGATTAAATTTTGGCGATTAAAAACATTAAATAGGCTTTATTGCGTATTTATAATATCCCCTGGGGGAACTTTAATGAACATTTCCTGGGTCATAACAAAATGGGCTATAACTTAACATCCATTTCTAAATACGTGCAACTACCTAAGACCTCCAGAAAGATTACTGGTGGCAACAATAAAACGAAAATTAGGAGTGTGAAACTGATGTCATAAAACAAGGCCTTTTTTTTTTCAGTGAAATGTTTTTGGGCAGAAACTGGTTAATGATCTTTTAATTTTAAATACATAGGCAGTCTCTAACTAACAAAGAAGTGGTTGTTTTTATAAAAGAAGGTCAAACGGTTTCCAGGCCAGCCCACAAATGCCCATTTAACACATAACACAGCAGATATAGTACTTGCCTGAGTTCTGTGTTTTGAGAGCAGGAAGTCCCCAAGGTATGAGATGAAGAGAAAAAAGAGAGAAGGAGGACAAGCAAGAAGGAAGGAGAAGAGTTTGCTCTTCCACTTCCTAGGCAGAGTTGGACTAGGCAAAGCAAAATTTGCAAAAGTAATGTCTGCCTTTGATTTAGTATTGTAGAATTAAGATAAGAATCTTAGAGATTATTTATTAAGAGCTAGAAGGGGTCTTACAAACTATCGAGGTCAGCTCCCTCATTTTATAGATGAAGATACTGAGAGACCTAGAGAATGGAAGCGACTTGTCCCAAATCACAAGCCAGTAAGTGGCAGAGCCGAGGTCTGTTTTTTTTTTTTGGGCTAGGCAATGGGGTTAAGTGACTTGCCCAAGGTCACACAGCTAGTAAGTGTCAAGTGTCTGAGGCTGGATTTGAACTCAGGTCCTCCTGACTCCAAGGCTGGTGCTATATCCACTATGCCACCTAGCTGCCCCTAGAGCTGAAGTCTCAATCTCCAGGCTTCTGATGCCCATGAAGATTGGAGGCAGAGGTGGGCTACGGAACTGGAGTTGGGAGTCTGTCCCTTATTCTACCTCCTTTGTGACCTTAGGCAGCTCACTTTACCTTCGGGCTTCCATGTTTTACCTTCAAGATCCAGATGGTCCTTAAGGGTCCCTTCCTGTTCTAGGGTTATGGTCTTTCTAAAAGCTTCTGATCCAGTGCTTTTCCTCTACAGTGTAGCTGACCATCACACTCGAGGGTGGATTCTGTTTCTGCACATGTGTTTCGCCTTTGTCCCCAAAGTAGTCCATGTTCCCACAACTCCAGCCTTCTCTCTTTTCCCTCCCCCAATGAAGCCTCCCATTCTTACATATAGCAGGTCTCAGCAAGGGGCTAGGAAGAAGCAATCTTAATGGAACTCTCAATACCATCATCTTTCAGCCTCCCCATAGTACCTTAAAAAAGTGGCTGCTTGCTAACTCAAATTCATTTTCATTATTGGCACTTCAGTAGTAAAAATGAAGTAAAAAGTTCAGGCAGCACGGCCAGTTATTCCAAGGGTTTGGTTGTCACTGACAGGGCAACTATGTTCGGGGCTTCCTCCCCCAGGGCACTTTCTCTAGACCATTTCTACTTTTAAAGACTTCCTTTATTATTCTGAAGCCAAGAGCTTTTCTAAAAACTCCAAGTTTGCTCATGATTTATTTCATGGCAATCAGGGAGGTTGTATATGTATCTACTTGTGCATATGTATCACTTTTAACTTTGTTATTCTTAAGTAAAAAACTGTCTATACTAAAAAATCTAAGAAAATAAATTTGTACAGCTAAACTTGTCCTGTAAGAACTAATTCTGGTTTTCTAGAATGCAAGAATTCAATAGATTCATCAAATTACTCAATACAGAATGCATTTTTGCATTCCCAAAGTGTTAATGACTAACTGTACTAAAAAAATGAGGTCAATTAAGTATATTTAATTCCTTGATTTTGATTGTGAAATAACAATCATTTCTGACTTTTCACGAACTGATTAAAAAATAATTTTTTAGAAGATATTTCTATTTAATTCCTTTGCTTTTTATATTTGTTTTGTAACAATGCTTGTGTTCTTAGAAGTTAATGGGCAGAAAGGGAGCATACTTACAGTTACCCAAAGAATTCTCAAACACAAACAGATGAAAGGTAAATGAAAGCAGTTCTCATGTGTTTTTTTTTTCTTTCCCTCATCTCAAAAAGCATCATTTAGGTTATGAGTGGTATTATGGATAGTAATAATAAGTGCTCAATTGTTAACCTTCAAATCTATCACCCAAATAAGAGAAACATTCAAAGCATCCTGAGTATATGAAAATAAAGCCCAATGAAAATAAAAAACGGCCAAGTTTCATTAAAGGTGCAGTACCCACATTAAAAGGTCGACTAAAAGATTTTTTTATATGATGACCAAATGAATGAGAAAAGTGATACTGAAACCTAAGTTACATTCAGACTGATGTTTTAAATACAAGAAAGGTAAGTGGAACATCCACAGTATGCCCTGATGTTACCTACATCTGCAGACAACAGCAAATTTTTAGTTTTCATTCTCCTATCTTCTCTAACCATGAAAATGATATGCTTAAAAAAGTAGCTGGAGACAATGATGACACATGCACTCAGGTGGAGCCGAGTTCAACATATATATTTCATCTACCTGGAATCAAAATCTATTACTCTGTTTTCATGGCTTGTTTTTCTTCCTCAGCCCCTAACTTTAATTCCTAAGATGCTAAAACAACTTTCATAGCTTAATGAAGCTTTGTAAACTTAAAAAGAGGCAGTTCTAACATTACCCTGACATTAAATCCCTAACACTGCAGGAACTAAAAAACTAAATCACATTTTACCACAAAGCCCGTAGTTATAAATTCTTCTAAGAGATCTTATTAAACCACAATATTCAGTTAAAAAAGCAGAGTCACTCAAGATTACACAAAGCCACAAAGCACAGGCTCATAGTTCTATGGCTACTGTATCTATAGAAAGAGCTATAGCTCTATACATATTTCTAATGTGTCTATATATATATATATCTATATATTGCTGCAGGAATTGGGGTGAAAACACTCTTGCTAGGCCACATGGTTTACCCAGAAGCACTCATTTTTAACACTTCTGGGTTGTTCCAAATTCAGATCCCCTGGGCCAATGTAACAAGACAGATTGTGAAAATCACCAGTGTTTAAAAAAAAACTCTCAAAAATGCCAATTATTTTCAACAAAGCTTCAAACTTACAAGGTCAAAGACCATTCCGGATACTAATAATATATCACAAAACAAATAACTTTGGGGAGCTAGTGGGTCTAAAATGTCAAAAACACAAGAGAATGACATTTAGAAGGTTTCCTCTTCTACTAGGCAAGACAGATAATGTTGGACTTAAAGTTCTTATGGATGCAAAGTAGGCCACAGAAATTCTTCTAAATGGCAAGAAGATCGTGTACTAAATTTTTAGAGGGAATGAAAAGGAAACTATACAAACAATGGAAGTGGGATGAGATGCATGCTTATTCTACAAAAATCATTTGGGATGTTTATAGTAAGGCAAATGCCACTGAAGTTTTCATTTCCACAAATGTTAGCAAAATAAGGAATGAATAGGATTCAGAGCCAGGTACTAAGTCCCATACATCTAGGCTCTCAGCAGAGAAATGATATTTAAAACAAGTACAAAGTATTGTAGTCTAAACATAACTGCACAGACGTGCAGATGACAATCTAACCAAATATCTGGATTCTGAGCATCTAACCTAGACTTACAAGACTCAATTCCATTATATTCAGTTAACGCAACTCATTCTTCAATACTCAATAATTACCTTGTGTCAGGTCTTACCCATTAAAGGAAAGACAAACCTTCTCAACAGTTATCCTCCAAGCTCTACATCCTTTAAAGCTTACATCCTTTAGGCATGATCTTGGCCTACAAGAATTAAACTCGTACCAAATACCATGTACTTATTTAACTGCTGGAGCTTGTGAAGGCACAAAGATACACAATTACAGAAATGCAATATAGCTAAGTTCAGCAGTCAACTTCAAAGCTGACTTTGAAAATACCATCTTTCCTCCAAGTCTGACAGTTCTTTACTCACTGGTCTAAACTATTATCAGCACCAAAAATACACTCCAGTCTCACAAGAGAGCTCCTTTCCCAGTCAATGATGTTATGAAATGCTATGGGTTTGTTAAATGAATCTTTATCTTCGGCCTTGGGTAATCAGATACTTTTTAATACATCCCACTTTTGCAGGAATTCAAATCCAACAGAAATCCACAATGTAAAAATGTTCTGTAGTTTTTGAATGAAATTATAAAGTATAATTACATTAAAAAGTCTTGGTTGTCTTTTAGTTTAATTATTTGACATTGTGGCTCTACACTGATCTAAAGCTCTAAAGTGGTTAAAACAAAACAAAAATCCTTCCCATATGATTTATCTAGTGAAGTAACTACCAAGCACTAATGAAAATGAATTTCTTAATTGAAAAGAAAAAAAAAAGTTAATGAGTCAGCATCTTTCATGCCAGACCATGCTTTGTCTCCCACCACCCTGCCCAGTAAAATTATCATCTGCAGTACCTGAGGTGCTGATGTGACTAATTACCTGTTTTGAGGCTGGGACTGAACTCTCGGCTAGTGCTGGGAGGTGGGAAGGCCTCCGGGGCTGTCTGTGCTGGAAGGGTTCGATATGGAGGAGGAGTCAACTCTTCGTCACCAGAGAGGCTCCTCCGCACCCCACCTGTCATGGGCAGGCTCGACAAACTGACAGGCTTCTTCCCAACTGGCATCTTCCTTTCTAAACATTAAGTCAGACTAAAGTAAGCTTTTACTTACATGTGTGGTAAGAAAAGTGCATTAAATAAGTTGGAAAGTTTGTGGAGCACAGAGCACAAAGTTGGCACTCTGAAAACATGGGATTCTATATTCCTTCTTTGGGAGTTTGAAAATCCCAGGCTCTGAATCCTGAACCAGTTGGAAAAACAAAAGCAAAATTTGAACTATATAGAGCACTGATTGGGTTGGGAGAACAGCTGGTTCATTTCCTTTAACCAAGAAAAATCCTTAGACATATCTTGGAGGGAATAACCTGCTAACAAGTGGGAGAGGTTCTTCTAAATCCTGCTTAGTGGCACCACTTCACACAAAATCCCAAATACTGGTGTTTGGTTAGGAAGGAAAGTGCGATCGTTTGTGAATTCAGAGTGTGACAGGATTTCACAGATATGAATGTACCTATATAATAAAAAAACCAAACCTTTCTTCATAAAGCACTTAAGTTGAGGCAGTTGTTCTGAAACTATTTCTAAGATAAAAATTCTGATTGTATGCATATTCAGAAACAATTAAATTTCATCTCAATCACAAATGCATCACACCCTTCAGTTTCATCTTCAAGAGGAACATAAGCTTTAAGACTTATTCAATGTTTGTATGTCAACAAAAATGTTCCGGAATTTGAAGCACATACATTTGAATTATTTAAAAACAATCAAACAAAAAAAGCAAAACACTGCCATCTATTTGACAAGAAGGCAAGGCATGGACAGTCTATATAAGAGGTGTCAATCATGCAGCTCACAACACTCCTTTATGTGGCCAGAACTGGGTTAAAATGTATTTGGGAAATATTTAACAAAATAAATAAAAATACAATAAAACATTGATAATATTGTGTTTTAAAATTAAGTGAATATGTGGCCTGAATATTGTGGATCATTTGTATGGTGTAGTAGCTCCTGTTTCTATTTGCATTTGAACCTACTGGTCTAAATGAATAAAAGTAGCAACAGATTACCATACTGCATATATATTTAAGACGCCAACAAAAAATTTTCTTCCAGGGTTTAAAATACCTCAGGGAAGAAGACCAAATACAGCCTATGTTTACATAGCTAGAGCAAAAGCCAAACTAAAGTTGTATATCGCTACTACTTAAAATAACATTATAACCAATCTAAATATTAACTTACTACTGATTTCTTAACTGCTAATCCTAAGCCATGTGTCTATTCCCTTGAAGCTTCACTAATATCTGACCACAGAATAAAATGCAAGTTATTAACCACAGAAAACTAAGAAAACTACTAAGATTATCATCACTAAAACAGCCAATGAGAAGGCATATAGAGTTAATGCCAATTTCCTTACTTTATAACGAATGTACCTTAACTCAAAGATATTTTTGAGACTATATACCATGAACAACCTCCAGGAACCTACTGGTGGCACGTTATCCTTGCTTTAGAAAACACTAGTTAACATGCATCCACACTCACAGCAAGAACACATATATCCCAATGCACGATTCAGAACAATAGATTCTCCAACTAGACCTTTCCTATTTCAAAAGAAATAAGCACCACTGAAGGAATAACAGATGTTTCAGGAAAAAAAGAATTAAAACTGAAGTACAAACCATATAACCAGTACATAATTTCACTTGCACATAATGCAAATAACATTATTTATTTTAAAATTATTATTTCCATATATCATGTCTACTACTAGTAGAATTCTGGCTGTAAAAGCTGTGATGCTTTGTGTGCCTGGGTTTATTTAGACCACCGCCCTTTATTTTCTTAGATGAACCTTGGATCAGTTCTATCCTATCTGGCAATGTGATCTGAAGTATCTGAGAAAGGTTCCCCTCCTCTTTCACTAGCACAGAATCAAGAGGTCTTCTCAGCACAGAACAAGGAGATAATGGTTCTTTATACTTCTTTTCCTCTCCATTTCTGAAGGAGTGCTTTAAAGCTTTATGAAAGACATCATACAACTAAGAGGAGCTGAAATGCTAATGAAATAAAAACGTTGTATCTTCTGCTAAGAACACTCTTCTTGAATCCAGTCTTGTTATGAACCATGTCATTAAAAACACACTTACCAATGCTATCACTTCTCTGCAACGGAATCTTTTCTTCTAGGGCCTATCTGAATCAATTCGTCTAAAACAGCACTCACAACATATACAAGGTACAGAATCTGCAAGATTTGTGTACCAAGTATATATGTCAGCTACACAATATTCACTAGACTGGGAAATTAATTTTGAAAATAAAATTTCATGTAGCCACTGGCTGGATCTAGCTCTACTTTGGAAGGAGAATTTCCAACATAAAAAATTTCAAACAAGAAACAGTCAAGACAATCTTGGTTACAAACCTTTATGGTAAGCCTAAAGATTACACCTTCCACAATCTATCTTTAGGTTCATACCTTCATTGGAGTAATTTTTAGTTAAGTTTCCTGGTTGATGGGGTCAGAATTCCCATTCCTGTATGCTCTGCTATGGAAACAGTTCTAGGTAAATGCTAGATCTGGCAAATGTCTAGCCTGCTAATAATTCTGGGCTGTGTGTGACAACTTCAGTAGCACCACAGAAGAATGGGGTTTGGGGAAGGTTTCGTGCTTTGGGGAAAATTTGTTCTCTGGCCCAAAATGTCTCTACGAGGGCAAGAGGATGGAAGAGAAAAAATACTTCACTACAAATTATCAACATAGTGAATATTAGACTAAAAATAAGAGGAAAGGGAAGAACAGGGCATGAAGGCTTCTTTATCATGATACCTATCTCTTGCCAGTTGATGATAATGATAACTTTTCATTTGAACATAAGGCAAGTCAACTGGAAAAGTCTGGAGTTGAGTTTCTATTCTAAATTGCATCTTTACTCTCAAAAAAATAATTCTCTAAATCAATATGAACAAATTAGTCTCTTGGCACGAACGACTGTGTGACAAGTTTGATGCAAGGAAAAAAAAAATTATACATTCAAGCTAAATCCCTGTGAGGGGAAAAAAGGTTTTAAAATACGGTCAAAAATACCATTGGCCAGTCCTTTCCAACAATAACCACTCTTTCATTGTTATGATGTGCATATAACCTGCATGAATTTTGTTTGTTGATAAGCAGCCTGGATTTCTTAACAATGGAATACTATTTCTAGACAGAAATTTTAGTTATAGGCTAGATAGATTCATTTTGCTCTCACTCTATTGCAAAAACTAGGTTTCTATTATAACAATTAGGAAAAAATCTGGAATAGATTACTTAGAATTTTAAGTGTCATTTATAAAATCCTACCCAAATGTCTAAAAATATTAAAGCAATCATCGTCCTTTAACCATGCAAGATTAAAAAAATACACTAACCATTTTCCTACAAATTGGAAAAAAAACCCAAGACATTTCTTGTTTACTGAAAAAAAGATTTGCCTTTTATGGCATACTGCACCTTTAAGCATAATACTTAATGTACAATCATCAATTTCAACAAGGAATGTTACTTCCCCTGAGAATATACACACTGCCCACAATTTGTTAACAATGAAAAAGAAATGCATATTAACATTTGGTGACCCACTTTTCTTGTGTCCTTTGTATTGCTGTGACTTAGCCTTTTTCTTCTGCTTTGATGAACCTGACTGGCTCTCTCTTGATGCTGAAAAATAAAAGAAAAACAATGGTCCTGGGTATTTACTCATCACAACAACCATCATTTAAATGAATTGCACTCTACATTCTGATAAGAGAACATTGTAAAAATAAATGTATACCAAAACTTCATAAATATGACTGAGGATTCTAGCGAAGTCACGAATATTAAGACAGAATGCTGTTTTTCAAATAATGAGTATACTAATTTAGTCTGATGAATGATCTTACTTTGATCTGCATTCTACAACTCTGACTCTAAATTCAGGGTTGCTATGGCACACTGTTGTTGCATCAGACATAGGAAATTATGCCCCAGTCCCATAGACTTAGAATGCAATTAGTACAATTAAGGGCAAGCATAAAATATGTACTTTTGGAGAGGTCCAGATTTAAAAATAAAAAAACATGAATAAAATTTTGGTAAGTCAACAACTCACTCTGTGGCGCTGGAGGCTGTAGCTGATATCCAGTTAATTGGCACCATCCAACAGGATAGAGGTCAGGGGACTCACAGTCTACCCACTGATCATACTCTTCTTCCCAGCCATCAAAATGGATCCTCAATAGACGATGAATAATTCGAGTTACTGTGGCTACACACACTAAGCGAGGTTCCATGAGGTCTACAGCTTCTAATTTCATTCCTACACGAAAGCCATGATTTGGAACATCCTGATAAGAAAAAGAATATTCTAGCTGACAGATGGTAGAAACCACACAAGAAGACAGTGAGGGACAGCAGAAAGACCCTTGGACTTGGAACCAGAAGAATGGGTTCAAGTGCTGCCTCCAGCAGCGGGGTGATGCAGGGCATGCCATTTAAACTATAAACCTCAGTTTCCTTATTTTCGAGGAAAGAACAATACTTGCACTAGACCCCATCACAGGAATGTAGGAAGCAAATGAGATAGTGTGTGACAAGGGCCTTCTAGCCATAAAGTCTTATGTAAATGACAGTTTTCTCTTTTGGAAGCACAAAGCAAAATGCTTGGCCTTGGCTAGCTGATTCCCAAGTTCTATTCCAATTCTAAGTCTTAGTAATTGCTTAATAAATGTCTGTTGAATTGACTCAAACTATGAAAACCAAAGGTAATGCAAGGGAAATAAACAGGAATAATTTATACAAAAATGACCAGGATTTCTAGATAGTTCTTTAGTTATAAATTAACATGGTGAAGCATTTAAGGACTAGTTATAAAACTATTGAAAAGAAAAAGCTTTACAAGTAGGTAACTACAATTTTCTTTTTACCTTATTAAACAACTTTACTGGTGCTGCTATGGAGCCAGTTTCCCTGAGGTAGTCAAACCATTTGAAAGGAAGTTTTGTATAACCTGAAAAATATAGCATTGTCCTAAGTGGAAACTCATTTACAATTCCTGAAACATTAAAAATGCAGATAAAAAGTTTCTGAGAACAAATAAAAATCTTGGAAGTTTTGGGAAGGGTAATCTAAATGAACTTCAGACATTGTCTCAAGTACTTCTAATGAATTACATAACTCTTCCTTGCTCCCCCTAAGTTATGAGAATTTTGTCTTCCTAGAAACAGACATTGGGGCTCAAATTAATTGGATGGAGACTGACTTAAGACACTTTCTGCAAAGGCATCTTTCTCAACTCAAGCATTACTTGAAGTTATAGATGTCTGTTCTCACACTTAGGCCTGGTTTAGTGAAGCTTGTGAGACTGTGGGGTCATTTCTACATGTGTTTTGTGGGGAGAAAAGGGAACAAAGCAAAACTTAGTCTTGCATTTTTCCCTCCCATTTAGTTTTTTTTCTTTAGTTCTTTGGAGAATAGTTTACGTAACATGTTAAGTGGCCACCTGTTTAGCTGAGATAGCCTAGCATCTTAAAAAAGGCATTTTTAATGGAATTTTCAATGAAGAATCTAATGAGGGAAGCTGCCCTTAAGGTTTAAAGATGTGTGCAGTAAAAAAATACTCTGTTACCTCCTTCACCAAATATCTGCTAAACCTGGTTTTCCCAAAAGTATCTGGTACTATCAATTAATTGACATAAATTAAAAAACTATACATAGACCCACAATGAAATGTTCCATAATGCACAGTTGTCCATTAAGCCTTGCAATATGTATGTTTTTTTTCATTAGGTACAGATTTTAAGGATAACACTGGATAAGTTGCACATAAACACCAAAATGATACTGAGTAGAAAAAAGTGGTGATGAAAATACAGCACAATATCAGAAATGTCATTTTAGGTTGAGATACCTCTGGGTGGAGTTAATTCAATCATGTTAATTTCACAGAAACCAACAGGGAAAATAGAAGGGGAGGTTGCATGGTAACAAAACCAGTCAGATCCATCTGCTGCTTCTGATCCATCAATCCCAATCATAAGGAATCCATCTGCTAGCACCTTTATGAATTAAAAGCCCAAATATTTGAAATTAGGAAACACTCTTAGGAATTCAAGTTAAAAGAAGTGAATCTAGACTACTCTTTCATCTAGAATTTTATTTAATCCACTGGAAGAATCTCATTATAAAGGTAAAAAAAGGCTTAGGTTATACTCATAGATTTTTATGTTTTCTAATTCAAATACACAATTTCATTATTTCTGAGTTGGCAGTATAAAATCCAATAAGTACTAGGGGTAGGGCTACATATAAGTAAAAAAAAAAAAAAAAAAAAAAAGTTAAAATATTCCCCAACTCTGGTTGATGGCTGAAATTCCATACCTTAGAACGTTATTCTTTCTGTTTAGGGTTTTGAACTCTGTTAAAATGCAAACATCCTTGGGAATATTAAGAATTTAAATGACTACTAATTATTTATATCTGATTATGAATTCAGTGTTAGATCCTTTAGAAGGTTATGAATTAAGCATGGAATGGGAAGATGTAAATGTAGGAAGTAAGGATGGAGCACTTGCTGCAAGACTAGGAGGTTGGACACTACAAGCACCAACTCTGATTACTTCACAATTATTTCCTAGGACCAGTGATCAGGAAATAAATTAAACTGCTTCTAAGACAGGATGCACTGTGGAATAAAACACTGGCATAGTGTCCCTCTGTAGAATGTGATCGCAAAACAACAATCTTTGCAAAGTGCTGTACAGATGACCTACGTTGAGAAGTAAAACTTAACTTTGAAGTTATCTGGGTTAACACTGGTATTCTCTTTTCCTAGTATAGATTCAGACATAAGCATATATGTATAAATATTTCACTACAAATCTAATCAGCTTCTACTTTTTTGCCATGACCATATAGCTCCAGTTAACACTAATTTTTTATTTAAACTTACATTCATCATCTCACCTTTCTAATGGTTGCAACACATATTGCAGATAGATTTAGAGGATCTATAGCTTCCAATTTCATTCCTTCCTTGTACCATTCCCCACTCTGGTCTACTTCTTTTACCTAAAGGATTATAAGAAAGCACATCTACTATAATGCAAAAAGTGCTGCTGCAGTATTTTGCAAAACAGTACCCATTTTAAAAAAGCTCACCAGAGAAGAGGTGAAATAGCTTCCTACCTACCTAACATTGTTGTTCAAACTTTCAATAGCATTAAAGGAATACAGGGAAATAAGACAGAATTTTAGGGCAATTATTATAGAGATTTATGATACCTATGTATTACAAAGTCTTAATCTTTGTAAATGACCATATAATTGTGATTTCCACTAATTTATGAAAATACCCACAACCCTCTTTCAAATCTAATTTACAAATGAGGGTTCTTATGAAAAATCTCTTACCTTAGCAAATAAATGTGGTGGTGTATCAAAATGTCCATCCTGTTTCTTAGTAATATCTACAAGGAAAAGTTACATACTAATCTGTCAGCATTTGAAAGATCAAAAACCACCTTTCTTTGAAAGTCTTAAAACCTACATGGCACATGATGCCCTCAAACATAGCAAACACATGTCTCCCACATTTCAAAACTACTCTTAAGGAGTCCTTTTCCTGAAGAGAACATGTGCATATATTATTAAATGAATTAAGTTAATTTGAATGCTGATATTCTACAAGGTAGAGAATTATTTAGATCACCTGATTTTAGGAGTGCTACCAATGTGTCTGATAAAATGCCTATCCAAATTTACTTCTAATAACTTGATTAAAGATGGGAAAGTGGGGAAAACTATGTTTAAGTGTTTTTGTTTTTTTAAAAGATGAGCTGAAAGACTGAAGAATAAGAAAACAATCATTATTATGACTATGGGCACATTTTGTAATCAAGAGCAAGCAAAGGAAGTATAGGAAATTAATCACTTAAGACATTATTATTCTGGTGTAAACATTCACTAACTAAATTAGAAGCTGCTTAAAAATTAGAAGGCTATTTTAAATCTAAGACATTTTGAAAAGAAAAATATTTGAAGAGTTCCATTAAGTCTCACTGATATTTGTAATAAAAATCTTTATAAATGTGCTCACCAGATCTTTTGAATCTATGACCTATACTTCGAGACCAACCAATATGATGAATCAGTGGACTATACATGTGGCACCAGAAGTCATCTGTTTTGTCTTCACTTTCTTCATACACTAATCTTAATCTTCCTCCAATTACACTTTCGACAATTGCGACCCGTGTTCGACATAGATGTGTCTTATCAACCACTTCTACCCTCATGGAAGGCTTGAAAGGATACTGCATACTTTCTGACACCTTAAAATCGAGGAAAGAAATAACTAAGCACTCACTTCAATCTAACAAACATCTATTAAACACCTACTATATACCAAGGACTAAGCTACATGCTGGGTATTCAAAGATGATAAATAAAACTAACCCTGCCCTGAAGGAACTTACAAAGTCTCCTGTTACATATACTGGCATAAACGTAAACTTACTATTTCATTATTAAAGCAAAAAGGGATATAACCAAAAAAGGAGGTAGACCAGTAACACACTAAGAATAAGACAATAACCGGACAGTGACTGGTACACCGATATTAAAGATTTTAAAAAGAACTAGAAGATGACCTCCAGAATGGTAGGTAGATTCTGTAATCAACCAGCCTACCACTGTCAGGCACTGTGTTAGGTTCTAGAGATACAAAGTTCCTGTCCTTATAGAGCTTATATTCTACTGGGAGAGATGCAACATGTAAAAAGGATGCACATAACAAACATGTAAGAAGGATATACATTCGTCTGCACATACACACACACACACTTATGTGTGTATTAAAATTCATACAAAGTGATGAGAGGAATAAATATAAAAGGCTTCTAGAGTGAGGAGCACTTGGGCTGAGCCTTGAAGAGAGCTAGGGGTTCCAAGAACTAGAGGTGAGGAAGGAAAGCATTCCAGGCATGGGGGACAACCTATGCAAAGGCACAGAGTGAAGAGAGAGGTTGTATAGGAATAGCAATTAGGTCAGCTTAATTGAATATAAAAGGCATGAAGAGGTATAACATATAATCAGTCTGGAAAGACAGACTAACAGCTATTTATGGAAAGAACAGCCCAAGTTAAAGCTTGTGAATGGGTTTTAATCTGTACAAGTGGAGGAAGTAACCACAAAGATGAAATCTGATGTACCTAAGTATTAAAAAGGATGTGCATTTCTTTCAGTTTTTATGAAGAATGTTTAATGAATAATAAAATCAGTTCACTGTGATTTTAAACATATTTATATTAACAAAAAGCTTCAGTTAACATGTCTTGAAAAAAGCCCCAAATGCCTAAATCTAGACAATTCTTTATGTTTTAGTTAAAAGTGATTTACATAAGGCAGCTTTACCTTTTGAGAGAAGTCAGGAGGAAGTGTTTTGGCACCAGTAAGTCGTTTGACTAGAAAAGCTTTCCAGTTTGTGTACTTGTGTTGAATGGCTATTGCAAAAACAAACAAAAAAACCCCCAGTCATATTTAACAAGGCATGGAACTGTTTTATAAACAGACCTCTTTGTTAATGAAAAAAAAAAAAAATAATACCAATAGTACCAGATATCCCAGGAATTCAGGGCCTAAAAATTAGCATGCATTTGAATGAATTAGCAAAAGAATCAGAGCAAAAATACCAATTTGGAAATTAACTTTAAATTAAGATAGAAGAGAAGCAATATCATTCCTGGAGTTATTGCATATGGAGAGGTAAGAGGGATATATTCCCTTAAAATATTGTGAGTCAACAGTTCTATGACTCTTACTTACTCCGAGGAGGAACAAGAGGTTTCCCACTGGCTGCACACCAACCAACTGGATGGATATCAGACCCACATATGTTGCACCAAAAGTCCAGGCTGGAGTCACTTTCAAACCCTTCATATCTTAAAAGGGCATTATAACCTGAAAGAAATGAGAAATGTTTAAAGGAAATTAAAAAACTCAAATGCAGCAAATAGGATGTAACCAAGGAAAATAAAATATAATACTGGAGCAAATTTAGGGAAAAATGCATGAAATTTTCTATTCTTTGTTTAGAAAGTTCTCTTTTTTGGTCTTGCAATTTGTACCAAATTCTGGGGGGAAAAAATCAATGAATTCTATTAGAATGTCTATTATTAAATTTTTGAAGTAAATAAAGAATGGGGCTGTACCCATTATTATATTATATAGTAATTTATTTAAAGTTATATTTTAAAGCAGTTGCTAGTTTCCCGGATGATTAGATGATCCATTATTTTTAAAAATCAAAACAATGAAAAATTTGAGCTCTGGCAATTCTTAAGTATATTTCCCTGTCATTTATTTGTTTTTTTTTTTTTTTTAAAGGCAATTGGGGTTAAGTGACTTGTCCAGAATCACACAGCTAGTAAGTGTCAAGTGTTTGGTCTGAGGCCACATTTGAACTCAGGTCCTCCTGACTTCTGGACCAGTGCTCAATCCACTGTGCCACCTACCTGCCCCCATTTACTTGGTTTTAAGGAGGTTTATAGCTATCATGGGCCAACAATGTTAATACAATGTATCAAGGAATAAGAAATCACTGTTTCTGTAATTATCCTCTGTCCCTGAAGTGAAGGTGATGGTTAAATAACAGTTTAATTTAGATTTTAGACTCTTATTGAAAATAAAACTCTAGTCTTATGCCAGGAAGCTGGAGCCCCTCCATACTTCCAGATGTGAATCCCTGCAAATGGCTTCAAGCCATTAAAGCAAACAGAAAAACCTGAATTAAACTCAATTTATCCAACATTAAGTGGCTACTATGTAAACAGCACTGTACAAAGTATGGGAGAGTTTCCATCCTTGTGAAGATGACAATTTATAAAGGGGATATGACAAACCCAAATAATCAGAATACAGACTCTATGAGAACCTAAGGAAAGTACCAACCCTGTGATTCCAGGGGTTGGGGGGGAGAGGAGCCTGGTTTGAGTGACTGGGGATTAAGGAAAACTTGGCTGTACAAATGACATTTGAACTAGACTTTTTAAAGAACAGATCCCATGGGCTGGGCAAATGAAGGGTGAGGAGGAAAGCTAAAACACAGGAGATAGCTCTAGCAATTTCCTGGAAAGATAATATATAAATCTGACAGCTGTTCTTGGGTCTTAACTGTCTTGGTCTTTAACATACTAAAAAGATGCCCAGCATATAAATGACACTTCTTTATGATCTACCTATAAGAGATTAATACCAGATAGCTTATGAGAACAAAACTCTCTGGTCCAGCAAGCTTGTAACGTGCTAGAGTCGAGAGAAGGCCATCTTTGTGAACTGCAAGATCTTCAATGAGGGAGATGGGGCCAGGGGGACAACATGCAACCAATTATGTACAAACAAGATATAAAAAGGATATATTGGGGGTAATCTCATTGAGAAGGTACTTGCATTAAGAGGTGTGGGGAAATGGGATTTTTGCTGGGACCTGAGGAAGGCAGGGAAACCACGAAGAAGAGATGTGAAGGGAGGGACAACTCCAGGCATGGAGAAAAGCCAGTGAAAATTCCTGGGGTATCTTATGCAAGGAACAGTAAGGAGTGTCATTGGATTATAGAGCAAATGGAGGGGAGTAATATGTAAGAAGACTGGAAAGGCTGGTGGGTGGGTAGGGGGAAGGGCAGGTTATAAAGGGCTTTAAATGTCAAATACAGAATTTTATTTTGATCCTGGAAGTAATAGTAAGCCACTAGAGTTTACTGAGTAGCAAGGTGACATGGTGATATCTGAGCTTTAGGAAGATCACTTTGACAGTTGAATGGAAGGACTGGAATGGGAAATGAAACCAACTACAAAGTTATTGCAATAGTCCAGGTGTGAGTTGATGAGTGTTTGCAGCAGGGTGGTGGTGGTTTCAGAGCAGAGAAGGTGGTATATGTAAGAGATGTTGTGAAGGTAAAACAGACATGACTTGGTAAATGACTGGATTTTGGAGGGTGAAAGTATGAGGAGTCTCGGTGGCTGGGAGGATGGTGGTGCTCTTGACAATAAGAGGGAATGGTCAGGAATCAAGCAATCAATTTACAGGCATTTATTAAGCACCTGCCATGTGCCAGGTATATTTGTATGTGTATGCATACATTTGTTTGTGTATACTGTGAATGTGGTATGTACATACAATCTAAAGAGAAGAGAGGGTATGTGTGTATGTATACATGATATGTGTGCATACACACAAATATACAGACATATATACACACACACACACACATATATGGATTAAAGAGTGGTTTGAGAGGGAGGGTCAGGATCAAAAAAAGCTCTATGTAGGAGATGGTACTCAAACTGCATCTTAAAGGAGTGGGCTTCTATAAAGTAGAGGGTAAGGAATAAGTACATTCCAGATATAGGAGGTCAGTCACTGCAAAGGCATGGAAAAAGGAGATGTGTCATGAACATAAAAAAGGGCAATTTGGATGGACTGCAAAGTGCGTGAGGTGGAGTGATGTCCATTGAGGTTAGAAAGATAGGTGGGGGCCAGGTTGCAAAGAGATTTCAAAGCTAAACAGAGGAATTTATATTTGATCCTAGAGGCAACTGGGAGCTAACAGAAGTCATACGGTCAAATCTGAGTTTAAGGAACATCACTTAAGCAGCACTTTGTAGAGCAGACTGGAATAAGGAGACAGATATTTGCAGTAGGAAGGCCCATTAGGATGCCATTACAATAATGTAGATGAAAGGTAATGAGCCCTGAACTAAGGTGGTGGCTGTATACGAAAAGGTGTGAGATGTGAGAGTTATAGAGTTAGAAATGGCAAGATATGGCAAATGAATAGGTATGTGGAGTGGGGAAGAGTAAGAAGTTGAGGATAATACCAATGCTACAAACTAGAAGAATGTAAGAATGGTGGTGTCTGATATAAATAGGGAAGTTTGGAAGAATTTTGGGTTTTGGGGAAAAGATGGGATACCCAATTTGGGATACCCAATTTGAAATGTCAAATGTGAAGTTGGTGACGAGGGAATGGAACTCAGGAGAAAGATTGTGGCTAGATATATGGATCAATGAGCAATCAGCATAAAGATAAACATAAAGTTAAACACAGGGGAACTGATGAAGACACCAAGGCAGAATGTAGAGAGAGGAGGACATGACCTTGGGGCACAATCACAACGTGGTGGTGTGATGCAGATGATCTATCCAGCAAAGAAAATTGAGGAGTGGTCCTTATAGGCAGGAGGAGAAACAGGAAAGAGCAGTGTCATGACCATTCAGAAAAGAAATAGTATCCAGAAAGAGACTGGTCAACAACATCAAATGAAGCAGAGTGGTCAAGTAGGATGAGGACTGAGAAAAGACCATTGGATTTGACAATTAGGAGATCACTGATAACTTTAGAGAGCATTTCAGTTCAGTGGTGAAATTGGAAGCCATAGTGCAGAGTGTTGAGAGGAGACAGAAGTAGTGTGTATGGACAGCTTATTCTAGGAGTTTTGCTGAGAAAGTGAAGAGACATAGGATGAAAGTTTGAGGGAATGGTAGGGCCTGGTGAAGGTTTTTTCAGGAAAGGGAAAATGTGAGCATGTTTGGAGGCAGTGAGGGAGGAACCAACAAATAGAGGATTTGAAAATTTGAGAGAGGATGACTGAAGTTATAATCTGTTGGAGGGGGCAGCTAGGTGGCACAGTGTATAGAGCACCAGCCCTGAAGTCAGGAGGACCTGAGTTGAAATCCGGCCTCAGACCAAACATTTGTCACGTACTAGCTGTGAGACCCTGGGTAAGTCACTTAACCCCAATTGCCTTTAAAAAAAAAAAGAAAAGAAAAGAAAGAAAAAAAAATTAAAAAAATAAAATATAATCTGCTGGAGAAGAAAGGAAGGGATGGCATCAAGTATATATGTAGAGGGGCTGGTCTTGCCAATGAGGTTTCTGTCATTGGCAGAAAACTGGTGGAAAGGAGTAGGGAATGGTAGATGATGTCAAGGGATTCTGAAATAGAGAGGGGGTGAAACAACAGGCCTCAATTTTCTTAGTAAAGAGGCAAGGTTCTCAAGTTGAGAGAAGAGAGGAGGAGGAAGCTTGAAGAGACAATGTTAGAAGACTTACTATGGGGAGTGAGATCTGGAATCACTTGGACAGGAATAAAAGGATTACCGTGCTGAAGGATGGACCCAGCTGTAGCCAGATAACATGCACTGAAAACACCCAGTAAGCCCTTGGCTGAGTGACTTTCCCCAGATCTATTTAGGAGTACGGGAATAGGAAAAGAGGAGGCAAATTATAGAAATACTCCAGGGCTGAAGTTGTGCAAGGGATAGGGGCCTGGGGATTCAAGTGCAGAGGACAGTGAAGTGGAATTGGCTAACTGAAGGGTCAAGATTGGAAAGCGAAGACAGAAAAGTGAAGTCAGGGCAACGGCAATGGTTTGAGAAGTACTAAGGAGTAGAGAGACTAGAGGTTGAAAAGAGGGCAAACAGGTTTACGAAGGATGAAGCATACACATTGTTCGATGACTAACTTTGATAGACTTAGCTGTCCTCAGGAATGCAAGGATCTAAGACTACTCCAAAAGACTCATAATGGAAAATGCTCTCTCCACATCCAGAGAAAGAACTACGGAGTCTGAATGCAGACTGAAGCATACTATTTGATCTTTTTTTTTCTTCTGTTGTTTTGTTTCTTCTTTCTCGTGGCCTCCCATTGGTTCTAATACTTCTTTCTAATGTGAAAATATGTTTAATATGAATGTATATGTAGAGACTATATCAGATCAGATGCCATCCTGGAGAGGGGGAGAAAACTGAAAACTCAAAAGCTTATGGGAGTGAATGTTGAAAACTAAAAATAAATAAAAACTAAAAAAAAGGATGAGGCATAGAATGAGATGGCATGAAAGATTAGTTAGAATAAAGTCAGAGTTTTAAAGGAAGGAAGCAAAACACTTGGGGGTAATGATG